TAAGACGTACTATTAAGAACACTAAGCTTATAAAAAACCGTTTAATTGTAGGGTGTAATCATTAGGGTTACTCTTTTTTTTTTTGGTATATACTGCACACTGAATCTTACGTAATGTATCTTTATACTGTTTAAATCTTCAGAACCATTTTAAAGATGAGGAAGCTGCCTTAGTTAAGTTCCCTAAAATGGGTGTGGGCCCTCTGCCCCTGGCTCTCCCTGGAGCTCTGGGCTCTGCTCACCGTAGTTCAATGCTTCCTAACAGCTCGGAATGTCTTTCTGCTATATTGTCACCAAGTGATTTCTTCAGTTAAATCTGGTACATATTCTAGTTCCTGTTACTCCACTGATTTGTCACGTGTCCTTGGATAAATTACTTAATGCTTTTCTCTTGGTTTTGTCTTTAAAATGAGGAAAATACACCCAGCCATTTAGTAGGTAAATAATTTTCAAGAATTGTTAATCCTCATCATATTTTCTAATGTCCAACATGCTCGCAGCCTCGCCTCCTTCAACAGTTAAATATGTTCAGATAATTTAAATCAGTGTAGATTGTAAGATTAGGAAGACGAGTTTTCTACAGAAAATTAAATCCAGCCATGCTGTATTTGCATGGCACAGCTGCCTTGCATGAGCAAACTTAAATGAGTATAAATTTGATGCCATCTATCTTTTTAAATTGATATGATTAGGTTTGAAATGTTTGTACAATGTGGTGGCATTTGATGGCTTCACAGATGTACCAAAAGATGTCTGGATAAAGTGAGACTATGGTGGAACATCGCTGAACTGAAATGTTTTAGATTGGAGAAAAAGAATAGCCCAAGATCTTTCTGAATATGTAATTGGGAAGAGCCATCTGGAACAAGGATTGTTAAGGTAGGTTGGCCAAGTGGAAGCCCCTGAATCTGTGCCCTCTCTTTGCCAGGATGGTGAACAGGAAGCAGTGCCGAATTCCAGGAGGAAAAACAATGCTTAATCCACTACAAAGGATGTAGAGCAGCAAGGGTGGTGTCCCCATGTCCTGCATGGTGGACCCCACAAGTCCAGGAAGGTGGTTCCCCAGTGTCCACCACAGTGGTCCCCATGGTGTCCATCATGGTCATCATGGTCCCATCATGTCTCCATTCAATTCACCTGTCTGGCCCCTGGTACTGAGTACATTCTTTTTAAACTGATTTTTCAACTACAGTTTTCATACAATATTATATTGGTTTCAGGTGTACAGCACAGCGATTAAACATTTCTGAGCGCATTTTTTTATGCCCACAGTTTGCTTTTGTGTGGGGGCCACGTCCTCTGCTCCTTGACCCTGGCAGAAACCTGTCACAGCTGCTGCCACATCAGGTGTTGTCAGAGCCACAACTGCCAGCTGGGCAGGTTGTGCTGGAAGTGGCACATTGAGGGTCGGGGCAAACGGATCCACAGGAACAAGTCGATTGCATGCACCAGGATTGGGCGGAGGCACGGGTCCCGCTCAGGCTGCTCCTTGGGCTTCACGGGCTCCACGGAGCCTCTTAGCCTCTTGGGCTTCATAAGAATGGGTTGTTCCCCAGGGGTCCCAGGGCACAGGGGACATTCGCCACTAGCAGACACCTGGGTGCCTGCCTCTGCCCCAAATCACAGGTCTTAGGTCACGGCAGCATCCCTGGGCCCTTCTGGACCACAGCTGCCAGGCCCAGCCACACGTGTGCTGGGGTCCCACCTGGCTGGCACTCAGAGGCCAAGTCTGTCATCAAGAGAATTCCACAGACACAGTGGGAGGTACTCTGCTTTCCACAGAATCAAATCATTTAAAAATTTGCTGTGCCTACTCTTTCCAAGAGCTGCTTACCGCAGCAGACTCCCTATGCCTGAAGTAGGGTTCCAGAGACCACCAGCACGATAGATCCGAGACATGCGGCGGGTAAGCGGAGAGCAGACCTGACGGGAAGTCACCACTTCCCTCCCCCTTCTGCCCACTCAGTGGGAGGACGTTCACTGCCTCCCTCGGCAGTAGACCCGACATGGTCTCACTCTGGAGCCCCCACCCCCCGGGGCCCCGCTCCGCTGTGGGGAAAAGGCATGGGAGATACCTGGTGGAAGGGGTAGAAGTACCTGGGTGGGGACACACCTGGGGAGGGAGATGGGAGCATGTGAGATGGGGCCATTCCCGGGGAGGGGGTAGCATAGAGGGCAGCACCCGCTCTGACAGTGGTGTGCCCCTCATGGAGCATTGGGATGGTTGCGGCGTGAGGAGGACTTGGTCAGATCAAGTACTAGCTTCTGTCTTGAGAAAAAATGTTTTATTTTCACATGTTCCTTTAAAAATTCTGAATTGGGACTTCCGGTCAAGATGGCGGTGTAAGTAAGCGCAGTATCGCGTCCTCCCACAATCACATCCAAGTTACAACTAAACTACGGAACAACCATCATTCAAAACCGCCTGAAATCAAGCTGGATGGAAGTCCTACAACTACGGAACTAAAGAAGCTGCATCGAGACTAGTAGGAAGGGCGGAGGCGCAGCAGCGAGACGGCGGTGAGATGGGCTGGTCCCACACCCACGTGTGGCGGATAAAAATCAGGAGGACACCTTGGCTGGGAAGGTCCTTCCTGAGGACTGAAGGGTCCCCGTCCCACACCAGGTGCCCCGCTCAGGGTTCCAGTGCCAGGAAGAGAAGTCCCCATAACTTCTGGCTGGAAAAACCAGCGGGAACTGAGGCTCAGGGAGGCTGAGGCGGCTGGAGCCCCAGGCAGCTCCTTAAAGGGCCCGCGCACGGACTTATCGGACTCTCTCCCTCTAAGCTCGGAGGGGAGGCAGCTCGAGGGGCACCAGAGACATACAGGGAAGAACTGAGCTGTTTGGCACTGGAGCAAGGGCTGGAGAGGGGGCTTTCTCCGGGACAAATGTGCAGTCAGAGGCCTTTGTTCCTTTGGTGAGCCCTTCCCTGGGGCGGCAGACAGAAGCCATATCTGGGACTCCAGCAACCTGGCTCACACTGGTAGCCCCGCCCTGGTGACTCCCTGAGGACCCGCCCCACCCCACCCAACTGTCAGGCCCACCCAAGCTATTGCCAGTTGCTTAACCATAGGATTGGCCTGTCTTGGATCCTGCTTCTGGTTTTCCTAAATTCTTTCAAACACGCAATCAGAACAGCAAAAAGAAAAAAGAATCTAAAAAAATGAGGATAGTGTAAGGAGCCTCTGGGACAACTTCAAGCGTGCCAACATTCGCATCTTGGGGGTGCCAGAAGAAAAAGAGAGAGAACAAGAAATCGAAAACCTGTTTGAAACAATAATGGCAGAAAACTTTCCTAACTTGGTGAAGGAAACAGACATACAAGTCCAGGAAGCACAGAGAGTCCCAAACAAGATGAACCCCAAGAGGCCCACACCAAGACACATCCTCATCAAAATGCAAAAGGTTCAAGAAAAAGAGAGAATCTTAAAAGCAGCAAGAGAAAGGCAGCTAGTTACCTACAAGGGAGTTCCCATTAGGCTGTCAGCTGATTTCTCAAAAGAAACTTTGCAGGCCAGAAGGGAGTGGCAAGAAATATTCAGAGTGATGAAAAGCAAGAACCTACAACCAAGATTACTCTATCCTGCAAAGCTGTCATTTAGAATCGATGGCCATATAAGGACTTTCCCAGACAAGAAAAAGTTAAAGGAGTTCATCACCACCAAACCGTTATTATATGAAATGATGAAGGGTCTTTTTGAAGAAAAAGATAAAATATATGAACAAACAAAATGGCAATGAATACATATCTATCGACAATGGAATCTACAAACAAAATGAACAGGCAGAACAGAAACATTCTCATAGATACAGAGAACATTTTGTTGGTTGCCAGATGGGAGGGGGTTAGGGGAATGGGTGAAAAAGGTGAAGGGATTAAGAAGTACACATTCATTGCTAGACTGACAAAACTCAAAGGGAAAGGGGTTGGGGAGGTGGGAAGAAATAAACCAAAGTACTTATATGCATAACCAATGGACACAGACAATAGTGTGGGAAAAGGCGGGAGGGGGATGGGAGTGGGGCGGAGGGGGTCAATGGGGGAAAAATGTGGAACATCTGTAATACATTCTACATTCAACAATAAAGATTTAAAAAAATAAAAAAATAAAATAAAAATTCTGAATTGCACTGAAATTAAAATCACATCTGAATGAGACACACTGCTGTTTTATTGGTATTTAATCATCCTAATAATCATCTTTGCACAAATCAGAGCTTGGTAGAAACCAAGTCCATCTGCGTCCTCTCAAGCGCCAAGAGGCAGAACCAGGCAGAAAGCTCCCTCGGATCAGAGCAGAGAGCCCTACCCAGGGCCTCGGAGTCTAAGGGCAGCAGGGTTAGGGTCATTGCGGGCACTGTGGTTTCCCTGCAGTGGCAGATGCCCTCCTGGAAGGCCCTTTGGTTCCTTAACCACATGCTCTCAGACTCAGCTAGTAGCAGCACTGCTCACCCCCTCCAAAGCAGACAGAAGCCACTGATAGCCCATGGTCCATGCTAGATTGGCCTTTGTATTCAAACAGACATCACCTTGTAAGCGTCAGCACTGCAGACAACCAAGGGTTTGGGACAGCATGGGGCTCCCATGCTCTTTACTTTCACTGTTTTCCCAGTTGTTTGTTTTCTGCTGCTTGTTCTGTGACATTCTCTCATTTCCTCACCTCATGCCAGCCTGATGTCCTGTTCCCCTCACCTCCTGTTTGCACACGCAGCCCAGGACACACCAAGACCAGGACAGCCACTCTCAGTCCCTGGTGCTTCTTTGTGCCCACCGTCGTGATGGTGCTTCTGCAGACCCCAGGGCATCTTCTCCAGCACGCCCCCTGCTTTCATACTAACATGGCCTCATGTCACGTCTACTGGAAGGCAGAGCTTCATCTCCTGTGTCACCTAACTGATGCCTTGTACAACTTCGACTAAGAAATGCTTTGGATGATGGTGGTAAGGGCACAAATACTTGACCCAAACTGCCGACCTGGGGTCACCGACTGGCCAAAATTTGAGACCCTCTGTGGCCTGTTGCAGGGCTACCTACTCCATTTGTTTCAGAGCCCTGGAAAAGTTTTCAAGGGCAGTTTTGAAAGCTTGAAGCAAGAAAGTTCCAAGTTCATTGCTTGTTTCTTGAATATCTGGGTCAAAACTTCCAAAGACTGGTGTGGAGACCTGGATGTCGTCCCGGCCAGCCCTCAACAGCACCCCACGCAGGTCCTCGGCAATCATGTCATACTTCTGCTGGTCGAACTTGGACATGGCCAGCTCATCCTGAGGATAGGTGGCACCCTCAGGGTAGCAGTCCTTGGGCACCGGGAACTCCACCCACCGCAGCTTGGGGAGCTCACAGAGAGCCAGGAAGAGGCGTCTCAGGGCAGAGGCCGACAGCGGGTTCCCCAGGAAGCGGAGCTCCTGGAGCTGGTGGCAGGGGCTCAGGGCCAGGATCAGTGTGCTCAGGTGGCCGTCCTCGATGCTGCACTCCTCCAGGGTGAGGACCCTCAGCGTCTGGGCAGCCCGGCCCAGCAGCCTGAAGAAGGTCGAAGGGAAAAGGTGGACCAGGCTGTGCCCACTGAGGTCCAGCACCTCCAGGTGGGTGGCATGGGTGCAGTCTGCCAAGAATGCCATGTCCGCGTGGTTCAGGCAGCAGTTGGCCAGGTCCAGTGCTCTCAGCGGGGTTCTTAAGGGGCTACAGGGCAGGGTGGAAAACAGCAGAGGTGAGAGGTGGTCCCAGGGAGGAGCTCTGGGGCAATGAGGTGAATTCTGTCTCAGGGGTCAGTAGTCCATGACTGGAGGGCCAAGTCCACCAGCTGCCTGATTTCATTCAGTCTGAGAGCTAAAAAGGTTCTGACATTTTAAATTTTTTAAATTAATTATTATTTTTAATCCTCACCTCAGGATATTTTTCTATTTATCTTCAGATAGAGTGGGAGAGAGAGAGAGGGAGAAAAAGGGAGAGAGAGAGAAACACCGACGTGAGAGGGACACATCGACTGGCTGCCTCCTGCACGATCCCAATTAGGGCCTGTGATGAACCGCAACTGAAGTATGTGTCCTTGGCCGGAATCGAACCCGAGACTCATTGGTCCGCAGGCTGACGGTCTACCGCAGAGACAGACCGGCCAGGGCAGTTCTGACGTTTTTAAATAGTTGAACGAATCAGACGAACAATAGTTTGTGACATGGGGAAATTACATGAAATTCAAGTTTCTTTGGCCACGAATGAAGGGTTGTGGGGACACAGCCTCGCTCATTCATGTGTGTACTCTCTGCGGCTGCTTTGGGGCTGAACAGGCAGAACTGCACCCTTGAAACTGTGGTGTGGCTGCACGTGACAAGTTCGCCTTCCCAAAGACAGGTCTGGCCTGGTCCACAGCTCCTGAAAGGGTACATCTGTTTTGTCAACACTCTGTGGGGCGAGTGTAGGGAGGTGACCACAGGGGTCCCTGTAGAAAATGTCTTCTCACAAGCTTGTTGGCGCAGTGAGATGTGAACTGGCAGGAAATACCCAGGCTTCATTCAGGAGTGAAAGCCACACAGTTTCAGGGCTGGGAAGGGCCTTGGAGCCACCTAGTCTAGCCTTAGCATTGCCTGGGACCTAAAAGGCCCTCCCTTTCTGACATAGGTGGCCCCACATTAATACACACGCAGCGGGTGCGACCCTACTTTGGCCCGCGGTCCTCACAGTCAGGAACAGATGCACACAGGGGTCCTGTGAGAGATGCACGTTTTTGGTCCACCTGCACCCAGGACTCTGGACCCGAGCCTGGTGTCACCAGGCTGAGTGCTGAGCACAGGAGGATGTATGGGGTCCTGTTCTCTGTCCCCACCCATCCTCTCGCTGGAGCTGCCTCCCTTACCACCTCCTGCACCTGTACCATGAGTGTGCCGAGTGCCTGGTGTCTACCCATAGACCTGCACCGCTGAGCACCTGCTGTCTACTCCACAGTGTGCTCTCTGCATTCTTGCTCAGCTCCATGGGTGAATGTTTCCTTCCGTTTCTCTCCTGTCACATCCATCCATGAGGGAATCCTGTCAATTCTCCCTCACATCAAGTCTAGGTCTGAGCTCCGCTCACCGCCTGCCCTGTTTACAGATGGTCCTAGCCCATCTTCTCCTATCTGGATCAGCAGGGTCTCTTATATTTTAAAAAAGGTCAATAGATAGGCCCAACTGCTGACCTTGGGTGACCTAGGTCTGGGGCTTGGATTTGGGAAGGTCCCACCACCCAAATGATGGGTGGTCCTGGCCCTAGATTGTACAACCTGCTTCATACCCAGCCCTTGCTTCCTCTGGAGTCTGGAGCCTTGGTGTGCGCCCGGCTGAGGAGCCCACCTGCCAGCTCCCAGAAAACACCCTGGGTGTGGGTGTCTAACTAGCTCCTTGGCGGAGGGTGCCTCCACGGTGCTGAGGGATAAAGCATGTCTAGGGCTCCCCTGGGAGCAGACCTAGGAGCCCCGACCTGGCCTCTCAGCCTCACCCCACGAGCCCTTCCCTTTGCGGACCCTGCTGGGTCCTTTTCTGTAATAAATCACAGCCGTGAGGACTACTGTTTGCAGAGACCTCCTAGGAATCACCAAACCTAGGTGGTCTTGGGGCCTGACACCTCCTACCCTCCGGCCCTCCATCCAGGGGTACTCTGTGGGCCAAAGAGTGCAGAGTGACCTTGTGGACATGAACAGACCATGCCACCTTACTGTTCAGAACTTCTGGGGCTTTGCTCACTCAAGGAAAGCTGAAGCCCTTCCTTCCTTTCCTCCTTCCCCTACCACCTCCCTCATCACTCTCCCCCTGCCAACCCCACCCTCTCCCTGCTGACCCCTGGCCCTGCCACATCCCCAACTTGGGCCCTGTGTACCCAGGGTCCCCTCTTCAAACGACTGTGCAAGAGACTGTTCCTCAGTCTCAAAGCTGACCTCGGGAGTGTGCCTTCCCTGACACACTGCATGCCTGGACCCCCCAGGGACCTTAGGTCATCTCAGAAACCTGCCTGGCTGAAATATGCCACGGAGCACGGGCTCCATACGATGGAGGTCAGAGTGTGCCGGGCAATGGGAAGGCATATCAGGGTTAACCTGACAGCCCTGCCAGGCTTGCGATGGGTCCCTCTGACCGTGGAACACATTCCCCCAGCACAAAGGCTCATCTGGGCTGAAGACCCAGGCCAGCTAAACGCAGGACTGTCCTGAAGGTCCCAGAGAGCCAGCAACCCGTAAGAGTTTTACTTGTACATGGGCTTGGCAGCTACCCTGTCCTGTGTAGGAGACTGATGTCCTGTGGAAGACAGAGGGAGGGAGCCCCCATTCCTCTACCTGGAAGACTTGGGGTGGAGAAGCAGGGATGGGTGACCTGGGGGAGCTGGGGTGCCTGTAGGGGAGGAGAGGGAGTGTGGCCTCCAGCCACTTGGGCTGAAAGCTTCTGGGTTAACTTGTATAAGAGAAACACCTGTCAGCAAAGGGCTCCCTAAACTAGGAAAGAAACCTTCACACTCCCCGGCACAAGAAACGAGAAGTTCAATTTACTATACATTTGTGTAAGTATATTCATGGCAGGTGGCCACCAAGGTGGCGCACAAGCCCTCCTGGCACTCCGGCCCTTTTGTGGTGACTGGCTCCTTACCAACACAACATGCAAAAATAAGGTCACACTGCAGAGGAGGTTACAAGGACAGCCTGTCCCCTGGGCGCCCTGGCTCTCGGATGAGCAGCCAGAGGCTTGTGCAGAGCCTGTGTGGCGAGGAGCCTAGGCCACCTGCCCGCAGCCAGGTGAGTGAACCTGCAAGCAGACTGCCCACTTTCCCGCCCCACCAAGCCTTCAAGGAGACTGCAGTCCACCTAGTCAGAGGCAACCTTGAGGTCATCTTGTGTGTTCAGCCCAGTGTTAGCATAATTTGCTACAACAGCAAGTCATTAATACAATAATATAGTTACTTCTGTGTTACTGGTTTGCTACTCAGTAATTTTCTCTTTTGCTAACTAGCTGAAAACAGTCCCCTGTGAGTTCCCAGTGCTTCTCCCCCTCCCCCTTTCCCCAGTCTGTCCCCTCCTGCTGCTTTGGGCCTCTTGTAAGTCACAAGGTCCCATTATCCGGTCCTTGGTGCATCTTTAGCTTAGCCTCCAAGAGGGCCCCGTGTCACCCTGACCCCAGCAAGGGGCTGTGGGCAGACTGCGCCCACCTACCGCCTCTCTCTGGTCACCCCAGACTCACCTGAGCAGTTTCTGGATCTTCCCGGTCAGTGTGGAGAAAGCCACGCTCAGCTCAGTGAGCTGGGTCATCTGGCTGAGCTCCCAGGCAATGGCAGTGAGGAGGGGGTCCTCACCTTCTGTGGCTGGGGCACAGGCAGGGGGTGTGTCAAAGGCCTTGGCAGGCAGGGTGAGCGAAGACAGCTGGGGGAAGCGCAGCTGGGCCAGCAGCTGCTGCACGAGGCCCGCATGCAGCCGCACGTTGTGCACCACCTGTAGCCTGCGCAGCTCGCCCGGCCCGGCCAGACACAGCACCTGCAGGAGCTGGCTGGGGTCCAGGCTGTCTGCCCGGAAGGAGAGGCAGCGCAGGCGCAGTGGAGCGGGGCCCACTGGCCCCAGGGCCTGCATCACCACTTGGAAGTTTCCCTCAGTGACGAAGAGATCAGCCAGGACCTTGATGGAGCGCTGGGCTGTGCCGGGGCCCACCTGTAGCTCGTTGCAGGTCCGGGCCAGCAGCTCAGTGCGGCCCCACCGGCCCAGTGCCCTCCCACAGGGGCACTGTTGCACTTGCACATCTCGGACTCCTGTGAGGTCAGCCAACTGCAGCCGCTGCTGTCCCCTGCCCCGGAGCACGTGGTCCGCCAGGCCCCTCACACAGGCCTCCAGGCAGGCCCTGCAGGCCCGGTCTCGAAGGTCGCCTGCGTGGTCTGCACTGGGCCCCAGCAGGGCACCCAGCCGGAACTCCTCCAGTGGCCAACACTCCAGCAGAACTCGGATTACCTCCACCCGCTCCAGCAAGTAGCTGGCTTTGAAGAGGAGTGGGTAGAGGTTGTGGGCTACACTGTCCAGGCTCTGCAGGGCCACCTGGGGGTGGGACACCAAGGCCTCAGCAGAAGCAAAGCGTAGTGACTTCATTATGCCCACCTGCGGTGGCAAAGGCAGGACAGTGCTCTCCCCTTGTGATTCTCCCAGAGACACGCATATGCTCTCCCCTATTTTTAGCTGCAGCTGTTGTGAGCAGCTTGCCTTTGGGAGGGAGGTGGCCAGCCAGTCCTGTGGTCATCTGACGGTTATTTTGGTCCTGGGTGTCTGTCTGGCTCTGGGCAAGGTGTCTAGCAGTGGCCGGCATGTCTGCATGGAGCTCAGCTGGTGAAAGCAGAGCTGAGTGCTTAGCTCAGGGGGCTTGGGCCCCAAAAAGTGCCGCCCATGCCCACTGCAGGGGTGCCCTGTGCCTGGGAGCTGCAGTAAGTTGGTCCTGGAGCTGGAGTACCCCCCTGCCTTACGTCTGGGAACAGGGACATGGCACCAAAAATGCGGGTATGCACCTCTGACAACTGCTTTCTGATTTTAAGGAAAGACAAATAATGCCAGCCCCGTGAGACATCAACACTTTGCTTCATCCCTTCTCTTCCTTTATTCTTTCCGAGGACCGGGGGCAGCTTGTGGCCTCTGCAATTCCATGGGAGGGTGCATGGCCTGAGTGAGCTGGGGGGACATGCAGATGGTCCCCTGTGGGCCTGCCTGACAGCAGCTGGGAGAGGTGGGGCCCAGCACCCCTCCCCTCAGCCACCTGCAGTGGCAACCCCAGGACCCAGGAGGCAGGTGGTGCTGCAGACTGGACGGAGGCCCTGGGAGCTGTGATGCCTCTCTGGTGTGGTGTTCAACTATTCACTCTGAAGGTGGCAGCATACAATGCCCCAAACATGCCACTTTGGCATAAGGATTATTTTGAGCTAAAGGCGCCTGAACTCCCCCTTTCTTCCTGCACCAGGAGGCATGGGGGTCAGGCCAGAGAATTCTGAGCAAACAGACCTCATTAAGTAACTCATATTTCTTTACTTTTCTGCAATTGCTTCTTTACTCAACTTAGTAGAGAAATGCTTGGGCTTATCCACTTTGGGTCTTCATTTCCTGTGAGGGTTCCATGTCACCTAAAACTTATGTTAAATAAATCTGTTTGCTTTTCTCTGGTTAATCTGTCTTTTGTTACTAAAATGGGTAGAGAAATATTTCCTCCCTTCAGAACCTGGGCATTGATGGCTGTTAAATGATTAGTAAATGACTAACACCCCTCCCACCCCCAAAACACACACACACACGCACACACACACGCACGCACACACACACCATCATTTGGGCAGGGATGGAGCAATGAGCTCACAGGCCACCTGGACAAGCACAAGTCTGGGAGAGTCACAGCTGGGGCAGAAATACAGAGGCAAAGAGATACACAGAGAGAAAGATGAGGACACAGAGAAAGAGGCAAAGTGCAAGAGAAGAAGAGAGAGACCGAAAGGCAGTGGGAGGAAAGGATGTGCTGAGTGTGTGGGCATGTGGACCCTCCCTCAGGGTCCTGTCAAGCAGCTGTCCCCTTGAGCTTCACTGCACCTCCCCCAGCGGGGGCACAGATGGGAAGGCCTCAGCTCCCAGGCTGAAACCCACTCTAGGCTGGCAGGTGAGGGGTGTGTGTGAGGCAGTGGGACTTTGCCTGACATTACCAGAAGGTGTTCGATGTGGATGTGGACCCCAGAGTGAGGCCCTGCTGTCCCCTCAAGTCACATCAGCTGGGCTCCCTGGTGATGCAGGTGACATGCAGGAGATGTCCTTGGACACAACAGACCATGTAGAGACGCGCAACCACATGGTAGAAACACATCCCATTTATTTCTGTTCCTAAAGTGTGGGACAAGTCAGCACTGAAAAAGTAACAAAACAGTTTTCACAGCTGGAAAATCACAGAGGTGTGGCCCCCGCCGCCACCACTCCTGGTCTCAGTGGTCCATGTGGTGGTGGGGGGGGGGGGAGGGGGTAGATGCCTGCAGCAGGAAGCTCATTATAGGTCTGGCGTCTCCGGGGCTCTGCCTGCTTCAGATTTCAACCTGTCTGGTGAGGGTAGTCCTCTCGGGCACACCAACAGGACCTCCAGCACTGGCTCCTCAGAGATTCAGGCCCAACTGCTGTGCCCTGCCCCAACCTGGCCCCTACTTGGGCAGCAGAGTGTAACCTCAACCCAGGCTCACAGGCGGTGGTGACCAGTGGCCCCTGAGCTAATTCTAGTACTGCTCTGATGATTACATACAACTTGTTAAAAAGGAAACAGAACGGAGATTCCCATTACACTTGCCCTGCATCTGGGACACATCTCTGTGGGGCCCCAGCTGGGGACTGTCACCTATGGCTTGAGTTGCCTAGAAGGTGGGAGACAGTCCCAGAGGGCTCGCCCTGCTTTGAGTCCCACGCATATCGGGGCCTCCACACTGGATCAGGAGTCTGTGTGTTCCCACCAGGTGGGAGAGGCTGGGCCACATGAGGTGTCCATGCTGGATGGAGGTGGATGAGCCATTCAGGAGGGACGAAGGGGAGACCCAGCCATGCCCAGGCTGGGGGTGGGGCATGATGGGGATGACTTCTGTTACTTATGGAGTGTTTTGCCTGCACTCAAATGGCTGTCCAGAAGCCTGAGGGGTTTTGTTCTGACAGAAAGGGAGGGAAATCAATGCAGAACCAGCGTCACTGGTCATCACGAGTGATCCAGGGCATGGAAACTGAAGACCTGTTCCCTCAAGTCTCGGTTCCCTCTCCTTGGCCACTTAGTCCCTCCCTTTCGGGGGTGATGTTTCTGAGTGCACATCAGGGCAATGTCTGGGGCCTCCTCCTACGACAGGCTGGGTCCCAGCCACCCTCTGAAGGTAAAAACACACATGTGCATCAATTTGGGGAAACACTGATTTGCCACGTATGTGATCCCATCAGAAGGGCAGGATTGGGGATCCTGTGAGTGTCCCAGGAGGGGCTGGACTCCAGGCAGAGCCCCTGACCCTTGGATTCCAGCTTGCTCCTCACCAGGCTGTTTGGAAACCGCCTCTGCTGACCATCAGCCTTCCTTCACCCAGGACTGCGGGGGCCTTGAGTGGGGGCGCTGTTGAGCCTGAAACCAGTGAATGCCAGATATAGGTCAGGTACAGGTCAGGCCTCCAGGTGGCTGGCAAAATCTAGGCAGTGAGGAGGCCCTAAAATCATCCTCGTTAAAGTGACTACTAAGTGACTCAGAGCAAGGCCTTTGATTTCAAGCCAGCCTGCCCAGTGTGCAGTGCTGGGGTGCAGGTGTGGAGCAGATTCACATGCAGAATGACCCCTCAAGGTGGGGGGTCTGTGTGGTCCCAGGCAGGCTAGCATCATGTGGGCAGATGCTGGCTACCCCCTAAACACTCACGGTTGTGGTGAACTGAACTCCATCGAGCTGCTGGTCCCTCTGGGGAAGGGTGGGAGATGTGCTCTGGGAGCCCTTACTGGAGAACAGTCCTGGGGGGAGGCCTGGGCTGCTGTCCCCAGACATGCACTGAGAAGACTCAGAGCTCTCGGTCCCTGTGGAGAGGAGCAGAGTTAGGGCTGGTCCATCAGGGTGAGGGCTGCCCTTCCCCCCCTTCCGTGTTCAGGGGCCCCAGAGCCTGTCAATGTATCAGCTGTGTCTCTCTGTTATATTGTAGTGGTTGTTTGGGGGTTTATACTCTAACACCACAATTTACCTTCAAGTGATATTACTCAGTTCACAAATAGTACAAAACGTCACGTCAATGAACTCTGTTGTCCCACAGCTCACTGATGTGCTCTCCTCCTCCTGAGTCTCTGTTTCATTTTGGATACTTTCTACTGATGTGTCTTCAAATTCACCAGCATTTTCTTCTGTCACCCCATCTGGTGTTGTTTTCATCTTGGACACTGCAGTTTTTGTCTATGTTCAGTCTTGGTGTTTTCACATCTTCCACGTCATTATTTAACTTGTTAGACATTAGGAACGGTTATAACAATGGTCTGAAGGCTGTGATGGACAATTCTAACATCCATGTCAGCTTGGGGCTGGTTTTGCTTGCTTGATTATTCTCATGGTTTCTGTTTTTTACATCTTTGCTTGCCTATTGCTCTGAGTGGATGTCACACAATGTGAAATGACCTTGTTGGATGCTGGATACTTTTGTGATTCTATAGATCTCCATGAGCATTGTCCTGGGATGTAGTTAAGTTACCTGGAAACTGGTCCCCTTGGGTCGTGCTTCATGATCTGGTGGGTGGGTAGGGGGCAGTGTTCAGTCGCCTGCTTCCTCCTCCTGAGCTGGGCACTTCTAAGGACTCGCCCAGCACCCTGCAAACCACGAGTGTTCCATCCAGCTGGTGGGAACAGGTGCCCGTGTGATTGTGGAAAGTGTTCTCTAGTCCTTTCAGAGATTCCCGGCTTTGGGGGCTCCTTCCATGCTGTGTTGACAGCACTTTGCTGGATTCTGGAGGGGATCCATCAGTCAGATCCCCAGTGCCTCTCACTGCATGGGTCTCTCCCACTTCATCCTGCAAACCTTGGTCCCCTCCACTTGGGGGTCTGCGGCACCATGCCTGGGACTCAAGGCAGAAATCAGGGCAGTCGCAGGGCTCACATCATCCTCCTGCCTCTCATGGTCATATGTTCTTGTTGTCAGATGTCCTGTGTTCTGAAATCTTTCATTTTATGCATTTCCTCTGGTTTTGTCTGTTTTCTTTCTCTTTTTTTGGTTTATTTGCTTTAAATCTGTTCCATTACTTCATCTTGGGTGAAAGTAAAAGTTGTTTTTTTTTTTTAATAAAAGAAAACTTCTAATTTGTTTGAAAATGTTGGAAGTATATACAATCAAGTGAAACAAAGGAACACGTAAACTGGCCCCCACCCACATCAGCTGTCAGGGCGTGGAGCACATGGCCACAGCGCACAGGCGCACTCACGTAGCGGAGGCTGGTTCTCCGTCTCCTGCTCCGGCTCGTCCTCCTCGATGCAGGCGTGGACGTCGTACGACCAGGGCCAGTGGGCTTGGCTGGTGGACACGTGCAGGGCGGCAGAGGACTGGCTGCTGGAGGAGGAGGTGCTGCTGTCTGAGATGGTGGAGTGCGGTCTCTTGAAGGGGGTGGTGTGGTTACGGGAGGGCACAGCTATGGATGCTTGGGTTCTTGGCTCTGAAAGGAGACAGAAGGCAAGTCAGTCTGGCCTCTGCTTCAGAAGCGCAGCTAGACACAAGAACCAGACAGGACCCTCAGGAAGACTGACCAGGTTCCTCTGCCTGCGGTCAGCCTGCGTGCTGAGTGCCGCCCCTGGAGCTCTGGAGCCTGGATTCCAGTTAGCAGAGAAGAGTGAGGCGCGGGCTCTGGCCACCTTACCTGTTCTGTTCATGTTGTAATTGACAGCCCGATCACTTATGGCTGCATCGCTGGGCTTGATATCCAGGAACGGTTTGCTGCCTAACCCCATAGACACCATTTCTTGCATTCTGACTTCTGAAATAGAAGAATGTAGCACACTTTTCCAAGCAACTCTTTGGGTTTAATACCACACTTGATGGTGCTCTGCACCCGACACCGTCAGTCCAGTCCAGAAGCATGTCAGGGCCAGACCCTGCTCCCCAGAGTGATTCTGAGGGGGCCAAGGTGCTGGGGCTCCCAGACGCACATGCTTGTGGTCTGGCCTCACAGTGGCTTCTCAGAGATCATGGAGGGACAGAGGCCTCCAGGAGGCACATGGCCATGAGAAAGACACAATTTTACAGGTGTTTGTGTCTTTGAATACTTAGAGGAGATCTAAGCATAGAGTGAGAGTCTGAGAATGAATTACTTCTTAGTAGAACTAAGAGAAAGGAAATAAAGATAATAGTTATAGTTGGTGGGAGGATGTAGAGGGAGGGGCAGGAGCAGAGGAGACTGGGGAGGGGAGCCTCCTGCTCCTCTTAAGGTCTGGATCCACGCCAAGGGGATCAAGGAGCCACTAAGCACCCTGAGCAGAGCTGCCTTGTGAGGCGTGAGCTCATGCACATGTATGCATACATGTGGGTGCATGCACATGTGCATTGTGTGTGTGTGTTCACACATGTTCAAGGGTGGTCTATGCTTTGAAGAAGGCGGCAGTGGGGGACTGTGGGGCATCTCTGTGATAGGTTAAGGCTCTGGCCAGGGTACAGACACTGAGACTGTGTTAGCCGTTTGGTCATTAGAGCCCTGAGGGTTCCTCAGGCCCGCGGGTCTGAGCTGCCATAGAAGGCCAGGTTGAGGGGTCGCTATGCAGATGGCATTTGCAGTGGTCAGACTGGATGAGTGTAGACAGAGGTGCCCAGTGATTAAATCAGGGCAGAGGAGGGACCAAAGGGGTGACAATGAGGAGGAAGAAACCTGGGGGGTGGGGTCCCAGAAGGGACGAATGCATTACTGAGGAGGGTTCCTCAGGGGCGGGGAGAACACAGGCTGAGCATCAGCCCAGCATCCAGTCAGTCAGGAGGCCTGGACATGCAGGGCAGGGCAGATAGCTGACCCCCATGGGCCTTAGGGGTTGGGGAGCCCTTCCTCTGCAGGTGCTGCAGTGCGGGAAAGGGGTTCTTGTTTATATTTGTTTTAAGGAGAAACTCGTGTTTATGGGCTGATGGGATGGATCCAGGCATTTCCTGGTAAATGGTGCTGACAGGGGCATCCCAGGGGCCACCAGGTCTGGGCCTCTTGGACGGGCCCCTGACACGGGGCTGGCCTCATGCTCTCTCTCGCCCACCTCTGTTCCTCAGAGCCTGCCGCCACAGGATCTTCCCTATCATGTCAGTCCACATGGTCTTGACCTCTGGAGAGCTCGCCTGGAGAATGTAGGAGTCCTGGGATTTCCGCCGCCTGCGGAACCAGATCTCAAACCTCACACCACTGTTCCCGACAGTTTCTGTCAAACCGATTTCAGCCATCTGCAGTCACAGCACGGGAGAGAACCACAGAGACGCTCTCTGAACAACTAACCACTTTGGGCTGACACTTTGACCCCAATGCCTCAACTAGAGGCCCCTTCACCCAGATACCAAATGGTGTGGACAAGGCAGGGCCAGGGGCTAGTACGGGATGAGATGGATCAAGTTCTCACCCCATCCACAGTGGCTCCCTCTTGGGGCCTCAGTTTCCCCACTGGAGAAACGGGGGCTGGACTGGAAGGTTCTGTGGTGTCCTCTGGCTGTCACATACTGGTGGGGTTACATACCTGTCACACCTCAGACATGTTCCTTGGTGCTGGTGGGTAAGGGGTTATGGGTATGGGCTCCTCCCAGGAGCCCCCAAAGCTCTTGACCCTCAAAGCCTCCTTTAGGGGCAGGCGGGCCATCCTCAGACCTGCTAAGGGTTGGGCCCCTCTGGTGTTCGCTATTATCAAAACCCAAAATGAAGTGGCTGATTGAGGAGACAGTTTTCTAGCCCCCGAACCAGCACAAGGAAAGCTTTGAAGCTCTTGGAGTCTGAGGTTTTAAAATTGCAGCCAAGGAACCACAGAAAAGAACAATTGCCACGCAGGCAAGCAGGGACCAGCCCGAGGCCAGCGGCATGAGGCTCGAGGTGGGTGCATTACCTTGAAGGATTGCTTATATGTGTAGATGTCGTAGCCTCCGTCCACCTTTCTGGTCTTGCTAAATAGGATGAGGTCTTCAAAAAGGAAGATGTGCCTCAGGTACTTCTTTCTTCCACAGCAAACGATGAACTCGTCCCGGCATCTCAGCTGACCCTGCTCCTTCAAATTCACCTGCGGACAGAGCAAGCCTCAGGGACCAATGGGTTTGATCTGATCCCACCCTGATCTCTGGAGGGGGGAGCAGCTGGAGGCTGAGTCAACACCAAAGGCCAATGATCTGATCAATCACACCTATGTAACAAGACCTGCCCCAAACCCCAAAAGGATGGGTTTGCAGAGCTTCCTGTTGGTGAGCAGGTGAAGATGTGGAGACACTCCAGACTCTTTTCCCACACCTTGCCCTGTGCATCTCTTCCATCTGGCTGTTCCTGAATTGTATCCTTTATAATAAACTGCTGATCCAGTAAGTGAGATGTTTCCCTGAGTTCTGTGAGCTGCTCTAGCAAATTAATGGAACCCAGGAGGGGGTCATGGGAACCTCCCATTTATAGCTGGTTGGTCAAAAGAACAGGTGAGAACCTGGACTTATGACTGGCGTCTGAAGTAGGATGGGGAGGAATCTTGTGGGACTGAGCCTTTAACTTGTGGGGTCTGATGCCATCAAAGGGTAGATTGGTTCCGAAGTGAGCTGAATTGCAGAAAATCCAGCTGGTGTCCGAGAATTGCTTGGATGTGTGGGAGAAAACCTCACACTGGAATTGGGTGCAAAACTCTCAGGCTGGGGTTTCCTTGTGCCCATGTTCCTGCTCATCTGCATGGATGTTACAGTAAAAGCACCTGTCTTCAATTTTATTTAAATTTCCACTTCAAAGTCCTTTTGTTCATTTTAATGGAAACCCCCCTGTTGAAGTGCCCAAGTCTCGGTCACTGCATAAACGCCCAATGTGGTGGCCTCAGGAGTCACATTATGAATTCCACACCTGAGCCGTCCCACACCATGGAGATCCCTCTGAGCTGAGACGTGGGCCGATACTCGGGGGTATAGCTGCAGTGCCCAGCCAGGCTGGCGCTCTCTGTGGATGTATCCCGAGTGACAGACACCATTGGGATGTCTCCCCTACGCCCTTCCCTCAGGGCACAGCCCTGTTCTGGGTAATGCCTGAGGATGCTGGGTAGATACCAGTCGTCCCACTCGCTCCGCCAAGCTCACTGGGAGAGTATGAGGGGCTGCGGGTTCTTGGTGACGACCCTGCAGTTTGTTGCTCTGTTGTCATCTTGAAACTCAATGCTGTTCTTAGCAAGGCACCCACACTTCCACTGAGATCTGAAAATTCTGTAGCCGCCTGACAATCAGAGACAGGGGGTCCTGCCTGAGAGGACCATGTAGTCCTGCCATGCCACAGTGTCGGGGATGTGGACACCAGGTTTGGCCCCCGGGAGAGACCAGCCTGTAAACAGTCAGGCCAAGCTCCAAGCCCAATGGCCCAACTCAATTTTCATGCATCCAGGTGTTTTTAAATAGCTCCAGTAAGCCGACAAGTAGCATTTGGAGCCCACTGGCTCTCTCACCCTACAGCTGCTGCTCCAAAGCCAGACACTGACCTTCTCTCCACCCCCTCTCCCCTTTGGGTGGAGGACTCTGGGAGGTCTAAGCTTCAAAGACATTCCCTACAGAAAAGTTCTGAACCAGGCACGTCCTTCCCCTTGATGACCCAAAGCCTTGAACCACAACAGCCTGTTGGGGCCTCGGGGCACTTACGTCGCAGCCACGGACAGCATCCATGGCCAGCAGATCGTTGCCATGGCGCAGCTGGAAGCGAACCATGTCTTCAGCAGCCTTCAGCTCACCCAGCTCCTGCTCATGGGTGGGGCAGCGCCCGGCCTCCTTGACCAGGTCCTGGAGCAGCAGTGCATACTTGCCCATGCGCTGCACAGGCTTCAGCAGGTAGGAGGCCAGATCCATCTTGTCACCCAGTGCCCGCTGCTTGTCCTGCAAGGGCCAGGGGACAAAGTCAGTTTGGGCCAGGCCTGGAGTGGTGTAGTAGGCTGGCAGGCTGGGAGATGACCTTGAAGAAGGCGTGACCATGGCTGCAGAGCAGGGCGTCCGACTGCGGCTTGTTCTTGCTGTAGAGCGCGTACATGCCAAACTGTTCTTCCTGCAGAGGGGAGGGAACCATGCGCCTGAGCAGGGGCCCTCCTGGACCCTGTACTGTGCCCCAGTCCTGCGGCGCAGTTCTCACCATGGCCACGAGAAAAGGACACAGTGCTACCTTAGGGCCACGGCAGCTTCCCCAGCACGCTGGGTGCTCCTGGGGGCAAGGCCAGAGTTCTGGACGGGTCTGAAGTAGGGGGGAGAGGCGTGAGCGCTCACAGGGCAGGCTGGGGAGGGGCATGGGGAGTGCTGAAACTTTTGTTAACGGTCAAGAACCACAGTTATCTAAACATTCAAAATTCTCACAATTATGAAACATTTAAAATTCTCACAAATACGAAACATTATACAAGTTGCACCTATGGCTAAAAGCACCCTCTAAAAAATAGCCAAAAAGATATTATGTGGCCTTTCTGTCATCCATGGTGCTTTCTGGTGGTTTCTTACATTTAATAATGCTGAGCAAGCGTGTCACCTGTCACAGCACAGAGCCACTTGGGTGCCCAGTGCCTACAACAGTGCACTACTTGTTGAAAGAATCTTTTCAGAGACCCCAACAGGGAGATCTTCCATGTTCATAGTCGAGAAGAGACTTGGCCAAGAGTGGACAGCTCTCCTCAAGTCAGTCTGGGCATCCTGACCAGGTTTTCTAGGAACTTGTCAGGCTGGTCCTGGGGTCCATCCGGAAGGGGAACTGGGTGGGTCAGAGGCAGGACTGTGAAGGAACTGTGGGCTTCTTAGTGCAGAAAGCAAACTGATTTGGGGAATTCCTTTTGGAAGAGGGGCTGTCAATAGGATTAAGTAAAATGATGTAAATGAAAACCCCAGGCCATGTGGCCTTCAACAAGGGTGTCACTGGGTGAGCTATGAGTACAATGTCTGGCACTGTTGTACCTACAGGCTTATTGTCTATTCTGGGCGACTGTGTATTGACAGGTCTTTCTGTGCTCCTGGGGACAGTTCCTAAGCCTGGACTGTAGGCTCCCAGTGGTCTACAGTGTGGGAGGGCACCCCCAACCCCGCTGCTCTGAGGGCGAGCTTGGCTGCAGTCACCCCTGCCCACCGCATAGCGGGACTTACGTGTCTCAGAAAGCCACGCCCCACGACCAAGGGGCAGTGCCGGCAATGCTCCAGCTCCGCAAGGAAGTGCTGGCGGTGGAAGTCGTAGAGCTTCTCCAAGTTCCCAAAAATGACGCCACGCTTCCCCCGCAGGTCCTGCGGCAGGTCCACTCTTTCCATTTCTGGAAAATAGTTGTCGACGACATATCCTAAGGACCTAACATACTCCCTCTCCGTGGAGATCATCTCGGCCATTACGTGCTGCAGGCGGCTGCTGGAAGACACAGAGACCGGACGAGATGCTGAGGAATACAAGGATGGTGCACGGATGGGGTACGCACAGCACAGAATCTTTCCAGTTACGTTTTCTGTCTTCTGCTGTGAATACTGTCAATGATGCCCCACACCTGAGTCGTGCTTGGTTATCTGGAGCTGCCCCCTGATGCAGAGTAAGAAAAGGTAAGAGATACAGGGGAGAGGTGCATGTTACATGGAATGTTCCCATGTTATTGGTCATGGCCTTGTCAGATGAAGATACTTTGGAAACTGAAAAGGAGAAATTCACAGGCTCCCTGGCTAAGCCAAGTCCTGTGGGTTCTTGGTTCCAGGCCATGGTTAGCGCCTCCTTCAGTAAGACTTCACCTTCAGCAGTGAGCCCTGTGCAAGGAAGGCTGTGCTGGAGATTTATGAGAAAACAGATTTCTCATGCACCCCAACTGCTAACCTATCAGAAGAGATTTCTGAAAAAACACCTTTAAACTGTAGTGACATCCAACCTAGGGGCTGAAGAGAAGCAGCTGGGAGAGACACCACCAGAGCAGGGCCTCGGGGCCCAGGACGGTTAGGAGACAAACAGTGGGGTTTGGGGGTTGGCAGCAGACACCTCCTTCCACAGCCCAGGGCTCCTGGGGCTCCTTCTGGTATGGCATGCTAGCATGTACGTGTTACCAAGCAACCGCACCAAAGGCACTTCATTAGGACACCAAGAAGAGGTCTGCGGGTGACCTGGTCCCCACCCACTAATAACAAGGCACAATGCTTTTCTCCCCCCCATGATAGCATCTTATTGTCAACCTTCTTAAATTACTCAATCCTAATGACATTAATGGCGAATGGCAATTTTTTTCTGCTGTTATATGTTACTTTTTTTTTTTTTTTTTTTAATTTGGAAAAAAAAGTTAGAAGTGAATAATGATGGAAATACACCTGTGGTCAGAAATGTTCCTGACTACATCTCGTTTACTGCAGAACTGAAGAACTCGGCCCTTCCCCGCCCCATCAACACACAGCAGAATTTACAAATACTTATTGTTTCTAAAAAGTCAGCACATCTGGCCAGCTGGGGGCACCTGCTGCTGGACAGCCTGGAGGTGCCCCGGGTGTACAGCACAGGCCGAGGAGAATCACCTCCCGTCAATGCTCACAGAAAACAAGTGTCCTCCTTAAATACTGAGACACAAAATTAAAATGAGGGTAGTGTGGGGATTTGGACCAAATTAAATAGAAACTGACTCATGAGACCATAACGGCTAGACATTTCTGGGGAAATGACTGTTGACCAGGTGACAGGAACTCCCTCTGGACACCTAGCAGGTCTGGGTTTTCAAGAAAGACAGGTTTGGTTTAATGATCCCCCCCACCCCCCAACCTCCGGACCCTGGAGTTTGAGGAGAGCTTGCTCCCTCTGAGTGTGGGTTGACTCCTTGCTACCACAACTTGGGGTGGTGGTCTGTGGCCTGAGAATGATGGGAGAGGGAATCTGTCCCCAGGGTCAAAGGCAGGACAGCTTCCAAACCTGCTCCCTTCCTGACCCAGAATGTCCACTCTGGGTGACCAGGGGAAGCTCTTTGGAGTGGACGGCTTCACCCCTTTGTTCTGCTGCCCTGAAACTTTCTACATAGCATAGTGAGTCTGGAAGGCCATCCACAAACCAGTGTTACCCCTTGCTGCCTTCCCATGGCTTCCAGCCCACAGGGCAATACACCGCAGCTGCTCCCACCACTGTAAAAATGAAACCTTTACCTTTAACAAGATACACTGTAACTGCCCAAGGTTTTGAAACTTAAAGGTGTGTTTCAGAAGAGTATTTTGTAACCATCTCGGTTCAGATTAAAGCTGCTCTGCAGGAGAAGAAACACAGGACAAGCCAGCAAATGAACTAGGACCTCCAGGCTGCAACGCTCACTGTGAAAATGGCCAGCCGCATGGAAGTGCTGTGACACAGGCCAGGGTGGCTATCTGGCTCTAGGGCTGGGTGGAATTCTTGCCACGTTATCTAAACAATTAATAAAAAGTATCACTTACAAACATCGCAAATATTAACACATTAAAATGGACATCTACCTTCATTTGGGCAATAAATAAACGGGTACACACTTCTTACAGCAGCACTTAGAGATTTTTTTAAAGCAATGTTTTAGGTAATTTCTTCATATTGTGGGCTCAATTTGCTTATTTTAATTTTCTATAAATGGGCTCCAAGTGACTGGACTTGGTTGTTTAATCACCAGAGCGGGTGTGCCAGGTCACCACACGCCAAGAAAAAGAACACATTTTCAACGATTCTGTTCTGAACACTGGAGGTAACTGGTATCTTGCTTAAAGTCAAATGTGAGTCTGTCTGGCCTGCGCAGGACAGGGCAGCCTGGATAAGTATCTGCGAACTTTCTATTGTGCAGAGTGCATTTGGTGGCTTTGCATTTCTAGATCCCCACTGACCACTAGACCCTAAGGCCACAGGGCGTCCACCTCACCTTCCTGCTGGCCTCCTCCTGTCCTCCTCAGAGGAGTGGATCCTGGAGGGAGAGGACAGGCTCCGGTTCCGAGTGACTAGGGGACTTTCAGCACGTGGTCTCAGTGGGGGCTTCTTCTCTGAGGCCAAGGTGCTGGTCACCTCTAGGCCTTTGATGAAGACCCCAGTGTGGCCTGGCCAGTGTGAGTCCCTGGGGTTACTGTCAAGCTGTGGAATCTCGAAGCTTAGTGTTTTCTTCATAATTTTCTTCAGGGGATGTTTCCTGTGGTGGATGCCGGGGTTGTGGATGGGCTCAGAGGAGCAGGCGGAGCTGCTGTCTGGGGTATGCACGCCTGGGTCCAGGTGCTCACCCTCCTGCCCACACAGAGCGACTTCTCCAGGGAGGCTGGAGAGCAGCTGTGCCCACTCCCCAGCGTGGCCCTCGGGGTCAGAGAGGGGGATCCAGGATGGCTCACAGTGCCTCATCTCGGCCCCCTGGACAAGCTCACGCTTCAAGGGCCTCTGGCCCGGAGGTGGGGCACTGGGGTCCGAGGCAGCCTCAGAAAGGGCCTCCTGGCAACAGAGTCGGGTCTGCTGGCACTGTAGCCACAAGGTGTGCCACTGTTCCAGAGCCTGCTGGCCGCCTAGGCCCAACACCGCCATGCTCGCAGATACCTCCATGGCATCCTGGTGACAGCTCTTCAAATACTCTGCAACCAGCTCTGGGCCCAGGGGTTCCAGGCACTCACTGCAACGCAGTGTCCCCCGCTTCACCTGTACAGCAAAGGAGGGTACTGGTCAGTACAGTGAAGCACTCACTTGGCCAGATGGCTTTGCAGGCCCCACCCAATGTCATGTGACAAATTGGTGGCTCAAGTGAACTCAGGTCATACTTGTTCTGCTATCCAGGCACCCATATCAAGGTTCAGGATGAACCAGATGGCCAAAGCGAGAGGAAAACCCTTCTACACATGGGGGCAGCTGCTGTCCAAACTCACCCAAAGGGCAGACAACTCCTCCACAGACCCCAAGAGCACCATGAGGGGTGTCCCAGGACCACGGGATGTCTGGGAGATAGTGATTCCACCTCTCTGCCTGGTGTGGGAGCCCAAGAGGCTGTGACAGGGGGCAGAGAACTCCTACCCCTGCCCTGGCCCGTGCCGGCCTTCCCTGACCCTTCCGGCTGTCAAGAGGGGCTGTGCTCCCGAGGGCTCTAGCCCCAGCGTCCCCAATGGCTAGGCAATTCTACATTGCTAGTGAGGTCACAGGTGTGTGCTGGACAGCTGTCCCAGTGCTCGGCCCACCCAGACCTGTGCTCACTGAACGTCTGAGAGTGAAGGACATGGGCAGCACATGTGGATCCCGAGAGAAACTCCGCTGGGCCTCTTACCAGCTCACAGAACTGGGACTGGCGGACCCATTGCGCAAACTCTCCCTCCTTCCACTCGGCCCGGCCGGCTGTGGCACTCAGACACCTCCCGACGTCCTGGACTCTTTCCTCTGTGTCCTTCGAGTTGTTCTTTTCCATCAGCTGTAGTCCTTTCTGACAACACTGCTGTAGCCCAAGGAATCAACCATCAGCATAAGCTGGGCACTTACTCTGGGGTTTCGGAGCGAGGGCTGGACTGCACCCACCGTGGGCCTGGGGTGCCCGGCCTGCAGCTCCTGCTGCTGCAGCGTCGCATTCTCAACAGAAAGCAGCTCCAAGGGGCTCAGGAATTTCTCTTCCTCTTTTTCAAACCATGATTTGATCTACATGGGAAAAGAAGATTTTACTTTTAAACATGTGAAGGAGTTAGGCTGTCAGGCTGGAGGACGAAGGGAGGAAGGAGGCACCAGACGCCGCTCAGGGGCTGGCTCACTCATTTCAGCATATGGCAGTCCTCGTCCTGATGCCAACACTGCATTCCCCTGGAACACGTCCTGAGTAACCACACAGCAGCGAGGGCCAAGTAAAGGCGTGTTTATAACTCTTTTCATTGTTTGGAAATGGAAATTGAGATAATTGAACAATAGATCTAGAACTTTCAGTTTTGAAACTTCTTACTATGCTAAACATACCCCAGAAATATTCTTCAGGCTGGTGGTGCTTGGCATCCAGGGACTGCCTGGGTGTGACAGAGGGGCTGATGGCAGCCCTGCCTGCGCCTCACAGTGTGACGAGGTCCAGGGTCTCATTTTAGAGACAAATCCTATGGCAATGTCACAAGGTTGATACTGAACATATCACAGGGAAATGCTTCTTTTTCATGCACAGTTCTCATTGGAGAGCAAGGCCAGGGACCCCTGGCTGTTAGCTGCCCAAGAAGAGACGCCTGTTATTAAAAACAGTGTGATCAGGCTGCACCCATGACAAGGATTGAACTTAGTGATCCCAGATATACAGGCAGAGGAGGGAGATCAGAGTGCACATTCTTTTTTTTTTTTTTTTTTATCCTCACCCGAGGACATTTTTCCATTTTTTGTACAGACAGAGTGGGAGGGAGAGAGAGGAACAGAGAGAGAGGGAAACATCGATGTGAAAGGGACACATCGAGTGGCTGCCACCCGCACGACCAACCAGGGCCGGGGACAAACTGCAACCAAGGTACATGCCCTTAGCGGGAACCGAACCCGGGTCTCTCCGGACCGCAGGTGGACGCTCTAACCGCTGAGCCAAACCGGCCAGGGCCAGAGTGTACATTCTTTGTGGACAGAATCATGGAGAAAAATATCAAGACAAGATTTTTATAAGGAAGCACTGCTGACATCAGAGCAGAAACGGCCAGCAGCGCGAGGCAGAGCGCCCCCTCCAACCTTGTGAAAAAAATAAATTCTATTTGCTTTGAAGATTTAAATGAGAACATTTAAATCATAAAATTCTTATGATGGAACATATTAATCATCCTGTAACCTTAAAGTAGAAAATGCCATTTAAATCATAAACAAAGTTAAAGGACAAATTATAAACTGGAGGAATTATCTGCAACATAATCAAAGGATCAGTAGAAGTGATACAATGAAACTATTACAAATAGTAGAGAAATTGGCTAAGTGCAGAAAATGCAATTTATTAGAGAATAAATAAAAATAACCAATAAATGCATGAAGACAAAGCCCAAATGCAGCATAAAATCCCAAATGCAAACACTGGTGAGATCCGGAACTTTCACTTGTGAGATGAGTGAGGCGTAGCTGGGCAGGCTGATTGAGACCACTTGCCAAAGGTGTAAAAAATGTGCTCCAGCCCAGCCATCCTGAGCTGAGGAATCTGTCCACAGTGAACAATCACAAAGAGTAAAAGAGGCAGGCAGCGTGATGTTTACAACAGCAAACAGCAAGGCAGAGCCCGGGTGGTGCAGGCCGCTCAGAGGTGCCAGGTGCACAGTGTGCCAGACAAAGCAGGTCGGGGGCAGCTGAGTGCAGCATGATCACACTTTTTAAAAAAATCCTCACCTGAGGATAGATGGAGATATATCTATATCTATATCTATATCTATATCTATATCTATATCTATATCTATATCTATATCTATATCTATATCCACACATACATACATACATACACACGTGCACACACACACATATACACACATACACACACACTTTATTGATTTTTAGAGGGGACGGGGAGAGAGAGAGAAACAGTACACGCTCTGACCAGGAACCAAAACCACAACCTTTAGGTGTACGGGATGACACTCAACCCACTGAGCCACACAAGCCAGGGCCATGATCATATTTTCATAAAAAACGATTTATTTTCTAATTCTTCCATAATGTCCATGCATTTCTTAGGTAAAAAAAAAAATTAAACACACTGTGTATAGAATGACCCTATTTTTAGGTTAAAATGTATCTAGTTTTGGGTAAAGGCAGATTAAGTATATCTAATTTTGCTCCCTCTGAAACATTGACGCTTTAGCAAACCTCTGAGGCAAAAAGGTTGGGGGCGCAGCGGGGCTGGGAAGGGGGCAGGCTGTGGGCGGGCCGTGCGAGTCCTGAGCAGGCAGCGAGGCCCAGGGGTGGCTGCAGAGAGCCGGAGAGCACGTCGAGCAGGGTGCCATGAAGAAGGGACATTCAGGAAACAGACAAACAAAACTCCATGGAAATGAAAAATGTTATAGCAGAGGCAGAAACACTCACATGAGGTTAGAAGATAAAGCTGAGAAAATCTACATGGAAAGTAGAGCAAAAAAGCCAATGATATGGAAAACAAAACAGGAGAAAAACTGGTGAACCAGCTGGAAGTGTGGAATTCTAGAAAACAGGAGAGCTCATCAAAGACAACAGGAGATCCCAGAGAAGAGAGATCTTCTGGCCAAAGGAGGAACCTCAGCCCTCTGGTCACTGGGGCCAAAGTGTCCTGAGGAAACCAGAGGTGAACAGGCGTCCAGTGAGATAAAACCAGGCCCAGACCAAGGTCAAAAGCAGAACAGAGAAGGACTCTACCGCAGCAAATGACACTAACAGACACGAAACTGTGCCACCAAATTCGGGAGGGAGATGAAAGCTGCCGTGAAATGTGAAGGCGGAAAAAGACATGATCAGATATGCAGTCTCAGAGATGTTCATCCCACCATCCCTTTCTCTGGTGGGTATTCTGCTCAAAACAACAGAAAAAAAAGAGGAAAACTTGGCGAATGGGAAATAGCAATCCCCACAGAACAGAGAGGACCCGTACAGGACAGAGAAGAGACCCCACAGGACAGAGAGGAGGACCCACAGGACAGAGAGGACAGAGAGGAGAACCACAGGACAGAGAATGGACCCCAGAAGATAGAGGAGAAGGAGGAAGAGGAGACTCCACAGGATGTCCCACAGGTCAGAGGTGACCCAGGCAGGGCAGTCCCTTTAGCTTGGGGTGTCCCAAGTCAGCCATGCTCCGGGCTGCCACCACCAAGGGACCTGGTGAGCTGACTCACCTCCTGTCTGTACCTGCCTTGCCCTGGATGTGCTGACAGTCTCCTGCCCCTGCCACCTCCCTACGCTGGTCCATAACTGGAGCTGGGGATGGTTGTGGGGAGACCAAGGAGAAGAAAATACAGTGTCCCCACCCCACCGTGCCTGCTGGCTGCACTGGGAACCCCCCTGCCAGTGGTGATCCTCCCACCCTGACTACTCTGAGGTGATCTGACAACTCAGAGATCGAGAGACATTTTCCAGTCACTCTTCACCTTGCCCTACATACCTGGCTGTGCAGGCTCCTGTCCTCACATTATTTACATGGAGAGAGTGGCTGATAAAATAATAAGGATTTTACTTAAAAGTATGTAGTTGTGCGCAGTATAATGACGTTTCAGTCACCAAAAGACTGCAAATACGATGGTGGTCCCCTAAGATTACAACGGAGCTGAAAATTCCTATCACCTAGTGACGTCATAGCTGTGACATCACTAGGCAATAGCACAAGGTATTACTCAGGTGTTTGTGCTGATGCTGGTGTAAACAAGCCCACTGTGCTGTCAGTCGTATGAAAGTGTAGCAAATACAGCCTTGGCCAGTTTTGCTCAGCGGTTAGAGCCATCAGCTTGCGGATCAAAGAGTCACAGGTTCGATTCCAGTCAAGGGCATGTACCTCAGTTGCTGTCCATCCCCAGCCCTGGTCAGGGTTGTGCAAGAGGCAACCAACTGTGTCTCTCTCACGTCAATGTTTCTCTCTCTCTCTCTCTCTCTCTCCTTCCCTTCCACTCTATCTGAAAGTAAATGGAAACATATCCTCAGATGAGGATTAAAAAAAAGTGTAGCACGTATAGTTATGTACAGTACATAATACTTGATTATGATAATAAACAACTATGTTACTGGTTCATGTGTTTACTATACTATACTTGAATCATGATTTTAGAGTGAACCCTTTCTACTCATAAAAAAGTTTGCTGTAAAACAGTAGCCATGTTTTGCTGGGCTCATTCATCTCGTGTTTACCATGTCTTTTTGCATCATTTTCTCTTGTGTTCGATTAATGTCATGTTGTTCTGCACAGTAACAGGATGTACAGGCTGGTAGCCTAGGAACACTAAGCTGTACCACAGAATCTAGGTGTGCAGTGGGCTGTGTGCCCAGGTCTGTGTTAGCGCCTCTGTGATGTTCTCACAATGGCGAAATCGCCTGACCATGCATTTCTCAGAATGTATCCCCATCACTAAGCAACACATGACTGTACAAGCTTTTGAAAACATTATATGTATGTATACAGGGAGGAAAGTCTCGGTTATAACATCTTGAGTATTAACACTGGTTATTTCAAGAGGCAGAGTTTTAAAATATTTTTCCCATTTGGCTCCTCTGACTGGAGCATTAACCTGGTCACCTCCCTCCTGGAGCACTGACCTGGTCACCTTCCTCCTGGAGTGTCCTCAGTTCCCGTAGTCGCTCCAGCTCCTGTAGACACTTGTTGGAGGTGAGGACCAGCCTGTGGACCTCTTCATCCACTTGGTCGTACAGCCGGGAGGCAGCCTCCATGCTGTCTCTGGAAGAGAAGGCAGCTGTCTGGTGTCCTGATCACTGGCTTGCTCACAGGCCGTCCCCTTAGGAGTATGCTGTTGGTGACAACCTACTTAAAAACCACAACTGCATTCTTCTCATGTCCTTCACGTCTGACAGAAAAGGAAGCCCCAGATGCGGCCCATGGCCAGGGCAGGAACTTGACATGCCCATAAGCGGTGACACCTGCTGGCCACATGTATGTAGGCACCTCAGAGGTGGGACTGACATGTGGGTGGGTGGACACAGCACCCCAGGACAGAGGAAGCACCGTGACTGCTGAATCCCGCTGTGATGAGTTTTGTCTTCCACTTGAGCATTCCAAGGAATCGGCTAGTTTTTCCTTGGAGTCCTCAGATGAGACAAGCTCTGGTCTAGTCACGCATGTCTGTCAGAGGAATGGAGGTCTGGGCCCCTTGGAGATGCTGCCTGTGACAGAGATGGCTTCCCCTGGGGGGCAGAAGGCTGCGCTTCACCCCACCTGCCCAGCACGGACACTCACCGGCTGTCCTCGCTGGCCCCGGGCTCTTTCCTCCTCAGCTGTGCCAGCACAGTGCCCCCTTCCAGGCGGAGGGTGACCAGCAGTGTGTCTTCCAGGACTTGCTTCATTATGGCCTTGTGCTCACTGATTACCTCTGTGACCTCCTGCGGGGAAGAAGCGGTCCTTTGGAAGTCGTTTGCTAACTGAAAGGGATCAACAAATCTAAAGGGTTTGAGAATCTCTGCTATGAATGATGGTGAAACCAAATATTCTTCTTCAAATTTTGGCTAAACTTGTGTGTTTCCACCTGTCAAATAAAGTAAAATAAAATAAAGTACCAAGGACCCACCTGCGCTGTGCTTAGGGTCCTGTGGGTGTTCAGGGAGCCAACTACATTTTGCAGGAAAGCAATGGCATCCTGGCAGCTTGCGGTAAAGGGCTCCATTTTCTGTTGTGGTTTGAGAGGACGAGACAACAAAGACACATTCTGTTAGACACCGAAGTAAGCAGCTGGGAGTTCCCACATGTAAACTGTTCCCAGGTAGTAAGCCTGTCACAGTGTCACCCAGCGACGTCTGGGTGTCTACAGAGGCACGGGAGCAGCACCCTCCCTGCCCAGGGCTGGATTCAGTGGATTCTTAAGCCCATGCAGCATGGCTGTTAGAAACAGACTACAAATGGCAACTGTGAAAGGTGTGAGGCCAGGGTTGGTGATGACCTTTCAGATCTGGGTAAAAACACCCACTAGGAGGAGTCCCCTGGTGACTACGACACACGCAGCCACTGTGAGCTGCTCCTTACCCTACGGAAGCAGATCCAGTCACTGTGGCTGTAGGGAAAGGAGCCTTCGAGGTCTGCGGTCAGCTGGGAGCTGTCGACAAACTTGTGCAGGGCCTTCAGGGAGCCCACCACCTCACACTGCCGAGGAGAGGGAAACACCGCTGGAATGGCTCGTTCCGGGAGAACTGCCATCGACGGGCTCAGCTCTGCACCCTTGCTGGTGCCACTAATGCACTTTGTGTGGTTGGACACAGGAATGAAAGTGGGAAGAAATGAAAGGAGAGGGTGGCAAAGAGAAATGAAGAAAAAGCCCCAATTAAGGAAAGACAAAAAAAAAAGGGGAAAAAACTAGGAAAAAAGCAAGGGCAAGATGATTAAGGGGAGAAAGAAAAAGGCAGGCAGAGGAAGGAACAGAGGAAGTTCTACTTTTGGTATGGCAGGGTTGACCCTTCTCAGACGAAGCCACAAACTCTGGACAAAGTGCAAGGACAACTGTCTGAAAGCTGTGAAGGGGGAACAAAGCCGGGTTTATTGTGAGCGACTGAAACCTGGATGAAGGAACCAGATGAAGGAAGCACCCCATTTTTGTGGCTCTGGCCGGAAGAAAGGCCGCCAATGGTGAGACTGGAGTGGCTGAAGCTCTAGCAGAAAACTGACATCTTTCTGGCCCAAAGAACCAGAGGACAAACGGGGTGGAAAGTGAAGATCAATTCTCACAGGGGAGAAAGCTGGGGAGCTCCAGGTATCTGTAAACTCTGACCCTGAACCATGTGTGCATAGAGAGGACCCCAAAAAACTGAAGGAAAAATGAACTGAACTGGGCCTATGCAAGGGATGATTTTCATTTTGAGTCTAACCAAGTTAAATTCATGCTAAAATAGCACTGTGTGGAGGTTTATAACAGAATCCAGAGTCTTTACAACAGAATATTCACAATGTCTAGAATACCATCCAAAATTACTTGACACATGAAGAATCAGGAAAATGTGACTCATTCTCAACAGAAGTCAACCCAGAGAAAACCTAGATGTTGGAATTATTAGACAAGTACTTTAAAGTAACTGTTATAACTATGCTCAATGATGTAAAGGGAAAATGCTTATAATTAATGAGAGGATAGGAAATCTCAGAAGAGATACAGAAAATATATTTAAAAACCCACTGGAAATTTTATAGCTGAAAAAGACAATATCTGAATTTAAAAATTCACTAGATGGGATTAATAGCTGACTAGAGATGAGGGTATAGACTCAGTGACCTTGCAGCTAAATCAGTGGGATCAATCTGATCTAAAGAACAGAGGAAAAAAATGTTTTAAAAAACGCATTCTGAGACCTATGAGATGACGTCAGTATGTGTCATTGAAATCCTGGAAAGAAAGGAGGGAATCAAGCAGGAAAAAATTTCAAGAAATAATGACTGAAAACTTTCTAAATTTGGTGATAGACAAAAACTTTCAGCCATACCTAACAGGATAAATATAAAGAAAACTGTACCTAATCACATTATAGTCGATTTGCTGAAAAGAAAGAGAAAATATTGAAAGGAGCCAGAGGAAAGTGACATTGCCATGGATGAACAATTACTTGAATTACTATGACTTTTTCATCAGAAAATAGGGAGGCAAAGAAAACAACAGAACAACATCTTTAACGTGCTGGAAAAACAAACAGAAAAACTACCGTGAAGCCCAAATTCTATATCTAGTGAAAATATCTTTCAAGAAAGAAGGCAAAATAAAGAAGTTTTCAGGTAAAAGAGAAAGAAGTAAGAAGAAAGCGAAGGAAAGAAAACAGCTGAGGTGGAGAAGAAAGATCAGATTTTCAAAGAGTTCTGATGTTAGGCTTTGCACAGCTCCTGCAAGAACTGAAGGGTCAGAGACAGGTCTCCAGGGTCCTTTGTGGGTGAGACTAGAACTTACATAAATTCTTTCACATGTTTTACTCGTCTGGGTGCCTTAATATTTAATTTCATGCATCACTCAAAGTCACTTCTAATGCTGAGGGTCAAAAACCATTACCTGAATTGCTACATCCTTGTCAGGTCTGAATGCTGATTCTTTATCCACCAACAGCAAAATATTATGAATTATGGAGGGAGATGTGTTCTGAAAAAGTAAAAAAGAAATATTAATCAGCTTTCTAATTTTTAAATTCATGGAGTTAATAGAATTGTCCAATTTTGATTGGTGCTACTTCCACTTTGATATTTTCCCAAAATACCTAAAATGCAAAAAATGCAGTTGCCTTTGCTCTGAATGTAAATTACTTGCCCTTATGAATGATTTAATGCAATCAGGTTTGTTGACTGTAGTTTACATATAATAAAATTCACTTTTTAGTGTACAGTTCTCTAAGTTTTGATATAACTTATAGTCATGTGTCTACCATCACTATGAAGCTATAGAACAGTTTAGCACCTCCCCCAAATTTCCTCATGCTTCTTTGCAGTCAAGCCCCCAGGCCTTTGGCAAACAATAATCTGTTTTCTGTCTCAGTAAATTTGCATTTTTTAGTTCTCATATAAATGGAATCACACAGTACTGGCTTCCTTCACATAGCATAACGCATTTGAAATTCATTCATGTTGTGAGTATCAGCAGTTCATCCCTTTTTATTGTTGAGTAGTATTCCACCGCATGAGTGTACAACACTTTGTTGTCCCACTTACCAGTTGACGGACATTAGATTGTTCCGAGCTTTCGGCAATCATTAGTAAAGCCACTGTAAACATTGTGTGAACATGTTTTCATTTCTCTTGAGTAAATAGCTAGCAGTGGGATTGCTAGGTCCTATGATAAGTTTATGTTCAACATCTGAAGAACGGGCTCACTGTTTTCCAGAGTGGCTGGACCATTCTGCATTTCTACCAGCAATACCAAGCACTTCTTGTCAAGTTTTATTGTTGTGGTATGTGTGTTATCTCGTTTTGGTTTTAAGTTGCAGTTTTCCAATGACTAGTGATATTAAAAATATTTTCATGTGATTATTTACTATTCATACATCCTCATTGGTGAAGTTATATTCAAATCTTCTGCCCATATTTTATTGGGTTGTTTTCTTATTATTGATTTTTGAGACTTTATATATTCCGGGTACCAGTCCTTTATCAGATATGTGTTTTGCAAATATTTTTCACAGTCCATAGCATGTATTTTCATTTTAGTAACAGTGTCCTTTGATAAGTTTTAAATTTTAATGAAGTCTAATTCATCATTTCTTTTCCCTTTTATGAATTATGCTATTGGGGCCATAGGTAAGAAATCTTTGCCTAAACCAAGGTCATGAAGATTTCCTCCTAGGTGTTCTTCTGGTGGTTTGGTAGTTTTAGACTTAAAACAAAATATTTTTTCTTTATTGATTTGAGAGAAAGAGGAAGGGAGAGAAAGAGAGAGAGAGAAAAACATCAATGAGGGAGAACTTCAATTGGCTGCCTCCTGCATGCCTCCCACGGGGGATTTGGCCCACAACCTGGGCATGTGCCCTGACCGAGAAATTGAACTGGCAACCTCTTGGTGGTGGTCAACGCTCAACCACTGAGCTACACCGGCTGGGCTGTAGTTTTAGATTTTACATGTAGGTGTATGATCCATTTGTAATTAATTTTTGTATATATTATGAAGCATGGGTGGAAGATTTTTTCCCTTTCTTATACATATGGATGTCCAATTATTCTAACCCTATTGGTTGAAAATCCTATTTTTTGACATGTTTATGACTTCAATCAAACCTTTGTTTCTGTTTGCTAGATTATATTAAGGCTAAATAATTTAGCAATACAATGTTTTTATTTACATAGCACTTCATTCATATTCTCTAAAGCTTTACTTTTTCAAAGATTCTTATAGTGTGATAACCAGGTTTTAGGTAATCCCTTATTTTGAAATGAACTTACTGAATGGGCCTCATAACTAACTGATATCTTAACTTAATCTTATATACTTGTACTTTTGTTAAGTGGCATCTTGTGGATGGCATTTTATAAATATTTGTTGAATAAATAAACCATAGAAACCCCCCCCCCCAAAAAAAACCACTGTTGCTTCCCTATTCTAGTTCTATTTCTCTCACTCAGTGTAGCTAAACTTTTTTTTTTTTTATCACCTGAGGATATTTTTCTACTTATCAGATTAGAGTGGGAGGGAGGGGGAGAGAGAGACACACTGACTGGTAGCCTTCTGCGTGACCTGACCAGGGCCTGGGACAAACCGCAACCGAGGTACATGCCCGTGACCAGAATCGAACCTGCGACTCACTGGTCCTTGGGCCGATGCTCTAACCGCTGAGCCAAACTGGCCAGGGTGTATAGCTAAACTTTTAAGTTATACATTAAAACTACAGTTTTGCAAAGTGTTTTATATTTCTCATATATTCCTATTTAAGTGAATTTTTACTATTGAGATCTGTTTTATTGCAAAGAAAATTAATATTAATTCTCAGGTAAGTGAGAACAAAGTCAATGCTTTATGACAATTACCTAAATTAGTGTAAATCATTATTTCCTTTCATAATGAACCACTTTTAATATTTTAACTTTAATAATTTAATAAATTTTAAGTATAGTTACTTGAGGTAGTTATGAAAAAGAGATATATTTTTGCCCTGTGTGGAAGAATTTACCTACTTTTGTATATTCCTCAAAAGTGAAATTAAAAACAAAAACATGACCCTTAAATTCCAGCTAATTTGTCCCGGCCGGTTTGCCTCAGTGGTTAGAGTGTTAGCTCATGGACCAAAGAGTCGCAAATTCGATTCCGGTCAAGGGCAAGTACCTCGGTTGTGGTTCGTCCCCAGCCCTGGTCGGGGTTGTGGAGGAGGCAACCAGATGATGTGTCTCTCTCACATCAATGTTTCTCTCCCTCTCTCCCTCTCTCCCTCCCTCCCTCCCTCCCTCTCTATCTGAAGATAAACAGAAAAATATCCTCATGTAAAGATTAAAAAAGTCCAGCTAATTTCCACTCTTCTCACATAAATCACAAATCTTGCTGTTGCCTCCCCCCCCAGCCAGGGGCAGCAGAGGTGGGGACCTGTGCCAGACTCAAGCGTCAAGGCCTCACGCAGTCTGATGTAAGTACTGTGGAATAGTTACAGTGGATTGGACCCCTCTAGGAAACCAGTATGAAGTTCCTTAGAAGATTCACCTGCTATAAAACGTTACAGCTCCCAGCTTCTGCTTTGCAGGTGTGTGAGTGGAGAGGGGCCAGTGAGTCGCAGTTTCGATTCCGGTCACGGGCATGTACCTCGGTTGCGGTTTGTCCCAGGCCCTGGTCAGGTCGTGCAGAAGGCTACCAGTCAATGTGGCTCTATCACTTCAATGTTTCTCTGTGTGTCTCTCTCTCCCCCTCCCTCCCACTCTATCAGAAAATAAGTAGAAAAATATCCTCAGGTGAGAAAAAAAAAGTAAGACTTACTCTGGTCTTAGTCTCCCCTTGTCCACCCGTGGGACTTGAGTGGCACAGGATTTAAGGTCTGAACAAAAAGAAATGCTGGGAAGGGGGTATTCTTACAAAAAAAACCCAAAAAAACAAACAAAAAAAACAATAAGTGGTTCTGGGCTGACTCTGTCCAATCTGCTGAGAACTCAGATGGACAACTGAAGGGCTCTAGGGCCAGACAGGACCTCCTGAGCCTCATGTACAGTAGGAAGTGCTATTGCTGAGTAGACATCCAATGAAGGGCTCACTCATCTCTGAGTCTGGGCACTTAGTTTTCGAGTTGTTATTGGATGCCAGAGAAGTAGAAGACACAGCAGTCCTCTGGCTTCAGGAAGAGCCTGTGCATCAGCATCTTGCTGGTTGTATGGCCCTGCTTTGCTCCTGGTCCCACACACAACACACATATAACGGTGCAGCAAGAGAACCAACAGGTGGCTCATGTTGGTACCCAGATAACTTCTCACAAAACCAGTGCCACTGGTCGGTCACAGGCAGGGACATTGTGGAGGGGAAGGTGGCGATACCATGCCGGTACACATGTGATTTTGGTCTCACCTTGCACTTGCCTGGGGTTCTGCCCTCATTTCTGCCCAGCATCTGCACCTCACGTCTCAGTACTGGCCTAAGAATGACAAGCTGCTATCAGAGTTCTCCAAGCCCTTTACAGCTATGAAAGGTGCCCCAGCACTAACCCACAGCCTTGGGGGCCCTAGCCATGCAGCTCAGACAGGAGGAGACCCCATGGGGAGATTGCAGCTGGAACACCACCTGCTAGCCAGGAAAGGTGCTGTCCTGGGTCCTGAAGCAAGTTGCTGGATTTCCAGACTTTCTCTGAATACAAATTTCAAACCTTCATCACAGATATTCTCCTGGACAGTTAATGGGGAAAGTGACCATTATGGACACAACTTACTGACTCTGAATTAAGGGCTATGAATCAGGGCTGGCAAGGGAGGCAGGGCACCTAACAGATGGAGTGAGAACCAGAATGGTCTCCCCTACAGGCCCTCGGCCACCACCTGGGGCTGAAGGTGGAAGAAACACACAGGAAGGGAGGGGAGGGCTGGCCCAGCTGGGTGAGCATTGCCAGCCCCAGTGAGCCCCAGTCAGTCCCTTTTGCAGCTCTCAGCACTGACCAGAGGAGGCAGGGGCTGCCTGTAGACAAGGGTGAGTGTTGGGGACTGGGTCCCCATAAGGGGGGGATAGGTCAGGACCCTCCAGAGGGGCTTCTGTGGGTGGGGCCACGAGCCGCTGTCTGCTTTGGCCTCTGAGGTTCATCAAGGCTTCCACAAGGACACTAGATCTGAGTGTCTGAAACCCACGTGGGTTACGGGTACACCTGCTGCTACATGACACCCAGCCAGGACTTCCGGGGTGGTACCCAGGTCTGGTAGCTCTCACAGGTCTTTCATGATTATATAGTTTTTCCCAACAAGTTGCATGAAGCAAATGAAAGGATTTCTAGGAATTTGATTAAAATTTCTGGTTACATTTTTCAAAATCTTTAATCAATGGTGACATTTTAGTTTGGTTTTGGAGGAAAAACAAAGTTGTTTTTCTCTCAAGTTGCTATTTATATGGGTGCTGACCTGATGTTATTACCGCAGGCACACCCACTTCAACCACTACTTTTAGAGAAATGCATTTCTGAGAGATAAACAAATGTTGCTTTATTGTCCAGTTGGGTTATAGCCAACTCGGAATTTCAGATTAACAATCTTTTAGCAAAATCTAAAAGCTCAACACTTCCATTCCATCTTTAAACAGAACTTCCCTCAAAATCTTTCTGAAAAGCAGTCCTCTTCCTATTTTCTTAAAAAACTTCACTTGGCAATTTCTCAGACTTTACTCTTATATAAAATTGCATGTAATTAAGGAAGACCAGAATCTCAAAGGAATTTCCAAGCCTTGAGCAGAATATGAAACCAAACTGGATGACATCCTGGTTTCTGACTTGTGAGCCCAGCAGCTGCTTGACAGCAGGGAATATGAACACCCAGGAGATCCTGTGCTTCTGGAATGTCTTGCGGAAACTGAACTTTGGCATGTCAAACCTGTCCTGTGTCGGAGGAGATACTTTGGGCTTTAAAGGAATGCAATGTGAGAAAGCTCAGACTGTGCGGGGACGTCCCTCTGAAGTGCAGACTTCACCCGTGAGGTTGGCCCTGGGTCTCCTCTCGGCAGTGCCGGGGGCCGGCGGCCTTCGTTCCGCTCCCAGAATCCGCGCCCTGGCTTTCCTTCCTGTCAGGCCAGGAGCAGCACCGCCACCCAGGTGCCCTAATCAGGGGCGTCCCTGCTCCTGCTAACTGGGTCCGCCCCACTGCCTGGCCTCAGCTCCGGGCCTCATGTCTCCTACCTGGAGGTTTCCATTACCTCCCTAGGTCTCTCTGGCCAAGCCCCCAGGGCCCCAACACTTGCATTCATACTCACCCCAGCCTCTGTCCCTGAGTCTTTCCTGGGAAGAACTTGCATTTGGCATCCCTAAACTTAAGGACCCAGGTGAGAACAGTGACCTGTTTTGTCTCTGCACAGAACACAGGACACAGGACACAGATTTAGCTCAGGGAGCAGCTGGGACAGCTGCAGAAGCTTCCAGGAGCCTCTGACACTCCAGATCCCAGCATAGCTCTTGGCACACAAGGGCCCTGTCTACACACGTCCAAGGGAGACTGATGTTCTCAGGCTCCTGTCTGGCCCTGGGTCCCTGAAATATTTCAGTGGTTCCTTTGTCCCCATTCCATGGACTCCCCAATTCTCTGTGGATTTTACTCATGAATCTAAATCCAGGATGGGGTCTTCCTGGGGGGACCATGAACCTGCTGGACAACCTTCCTTGAACCCGTCCCAGATGCCCCTCAGAAGTCCTGGGCACCCAAGGTCCAGAACTGGCAGGTCATGTGCATACCTCTGCACCCTGATTTAGCCAGAGGTTTGATATGGACATGCTATGAAGGGACAGGGTCGTTATCCTTCCTGCTGAGCCGGAACATAACATCAGAACACCTACACAGGCTGATCCTCTTGGTTCTGATGTTAAGGTGTGTGGTGACGACCAGGTATGGGCTGGACACTACTTTCAAGAGGCCTCTGTGCTCATGGCCCACAGAGCCCTGAGACGCTCAGGCACCGAGGACAGGAGTGACCCCAACTCACCTGCAGAGCTGCCAGGGCCTGGGAAAGGGCAGGGGTGGCCACACTCTTGCGTGCGTCTACCAGGATGACCAGCCCCAGGTCCCGTACCTCCTTCCTGGAGACAGAAAGATAGATATGTTAACCACTGCAGGTTAAATCTCTTCCAGGATGAGTTTCTCCATCTTTCAATGAGACGTCCTCACCCAAATCCTCCTGTCTCTAGAACTCAGGAGTTCTGACTTGACACACATGAACCTTCTGCCTCCTGAGGACTCTAACTGCTTATCAGTTGGAAGTGGGCAATCAGGCCTCACTGTGATGGACCAGTCTTGTCCGTCAGCACCTCCAGGTAAGGGAAGCTGCTGAAGTCTCAGAACTGTCTTCTTGCCACCACCCTGGCCTCTGTCCACTGCCACTGAGGTCAGCATGCTCTTCTGGCCCAGGGGGCCTTCTCCCTTCACACTGACTCTCGTCCTCACTCTTCTGCCTCTGTCAGCGCCACCAGAAAGTGACTGGCTGCCCTGGGGTTGTGTGTACTCTTCCTTCTACCTGGAGAGTCTTTCCCTTCTTGTCTGAACCCAGCCTCCTCCAGGACGCAGAACACGCCGATGTCCCCTTCCCTGGCTGAGAATGCAGCTCCTTCCCAGCACTGTGTACTTGTCTTATGCTGGAAGCTGTGGTAAATTGGGTTCCTATGTGTGTCTCTTTGAAGGCAGGAACCATATGCTATTCTTTTGCGCTCCCAGGTTAAGTGTTGGATGGATGACAACCAACATCCTTCATTGCAAAGGTCGGACGAATGACAACCAACATCCTTTCCGATTTTAAGATGTTCGTGTACCTAAGAGTCTGGTGGTGGTGCATTTATAAAGTGCACCCACAGAACATGTGGCTTCTTGTAACACACCTGCAGTAACAAGATTCTGCTGATGCTTTTCCTAATAATGCACACATCTGGGGTGCCTCATTCAGAGAGCTGACGGCACGTGTCACATCCCATGACGGTGAGTGGATTTTGGTTTCTCAAGGTGAAATACTCTACCAGGATGCTAACAAAATTACAATGCTTGTAGGGAAATAACCAGCCAAACCATGGGGCCCCAGAGTGAATCTGTCCTAAGCACTTTAGGAATGTTCCCCAACAGAGGCTTTCTCCCAGAGCGTCATGAGCTGGTGAAGATGCCTTCTCTGGTGATGGGGGTTGGGCTGTCTGAATTTGCTGTGGCAAGGCAGAAAAAGCAGAGGGTTGAATTTCCAGGTTCAAGTCCTGGCCCTGCCAACCCCATAAGTACCCTTGGCCTTGACCCGCAGATGTTTCATTGCAAAACGGAGAGCGAAGCACCACTCCCAGCTGTGCGAGGCTAAGGATGCGGAAGGGTATACACTCCCAAAGTGCACAGCTCTCCACTGCGGCTCCCATTAAAGAAAGCTTTTGTTCATAGAAAACGTCGCTATCCAAAGGCTTTGAAGGTGCTTACTTGAGGCTCACAAGGTATACATTCATGTGAGAGTGAAACTACTCTTTTCAGTGTGCTGAGGGACAGATTTGAAATCCCAGGCTCCCCCAAAGGCAGAGGAATCAGCGCCCTGCAGATAACTGGGAAACCTGCTCTGTGAAAGGTGTGTTAGGGAGAATATTTCAGTTCTTTTTCTGCCTGAATGTTCCCACACTGGTCCTACCTATGATGTTTCAGAAGAAATTAAAACAGAAAGTTGACACACTACAAAGAACATGAGATCACATGTGATGCTGCACTATGTGACATGTGCCCACATCATGTGCCCACATGATCTAACATGTGTATCACATGACATGTTCTCACATGAGATCGCATCACATGATATGTGCCATGTAACTGCCATGATGTGATGTGGTGGAAGACGAGACTCTGGACTTTAGTCCTGGGACTTTAGGGAGATTATTTCCAATCCTCTAACACACCTTCGAGACAGCTGTCACCGTCCCAGTTCATGCTGAGGTGCACCATGTGCCCGGCCAGTAGGCTCAATGCCAGGATTCGGAGATGGGCCGTGTGACCTTACGACTGAGCTCATCCTCCTCTAGGGGGTGCCGTGAGGACTACCCAAAGTGTGTCTGCATCTGATGAGATTGAGGGGCCCTGAAGAAGGTCCCCGAGCACGGCTGCTTTCCCGGCAGTGCCCCAGACTCTGGGCCTACACAGGACGCCTGGGCCTCAGAATTCTGCCAGGAGGATGTGTCTCCCTTGAGGAACTGGCACGCTTTCTCTCTGGCCTGTGGCATTGCCTGGCTGAACATAAGGCTCAATTAGCAGGAGTAGGTCTTTCCTGCTTCCTAGGACAGTTGTCCCTTGCCACTTCATGCTTCGACTTTCGCGGCTTCCCTCTACCGCGGTTTTTTCAAATAGAGTATCGTATAGTATTTGAAAAAACCGTGATAGAGTGAAGCCGCAAAAGTCAAAGCACGAAGTGGCAAGAGACGACTGTATACTAAATACAGAATCCTACTTCACGGAAATTCATTTGTCGCGGTAGAGTCTGGAACTGATTAACCGCGATAAACGAGGGCCGACTGTAAATAAAGAATGCTTAGAGCTAGCACTGAGCGATGCAGTTATGCAGAGTTCAGGGCTCCAGTGTGTGGCAGAGCCTCAGTTCTCAGGGGAGAAGTCAGGGTGACAGAGGGGAGTGGTTCACGGAGGAGGGGAGAGGTGGGTGATGGGGCTGGGGGGGCAGAAGAGCCAGAGAGCAGGAGACAAAGGGGCAGGCACCAGTGTGCTACCTAAATCACAAGGGTCCCCAAGGCAACAGATAAGAACTCTTGCATGAAGACACACGCCCACACAGGTTTATCCCCACAGGGGTCTGAAAGGTGGAAATTTGGCTCAGTCTCACCTGGGGATGCCATGGAGGTACTTCAGCAGGCGGGTCAGCTCGGCACTGGGCACGCGTTGGCTGGACCAGAGTGGGCTCCTCATGCAGACCTGCACTACTGCTCTCCCCTGGCGGTCTCGGGTCCCTGCAGAAGCAGAGGGCATTGTGAAAGGGGGCAGCCCCAATGGGGACACGTGTGACTTCAAGCTTGCGAAATAGTGAGCTAGGGTCTGCAAACTGTTACTGGCTTACATGTGAGGTCTGCCAGGAGAGGAAAGACTGGCACTCACCTGGGAAGTGAAGGCCGTGCTCTCCTGAGAGAATGATGGCCGTTGTTATCATCTCAATGTCTGTGTTCCCCAAACTCATATGTTCCAATCCTAATGCCTGCTTTGATGGTGTTAGGAAGTGGGGACTTTGGGAGGTGCTGGGGTGATGAGGGTGGAGCCCTTGTGAATGGGATCAGTGCTCTTAGAAGAGGTCCCACAAGGCTCCCTTGCCCCTTCCACCACATGAGGACACAGAAAAGGTGCTGACCATGAACCAGGAAGAGGTCCCACACCAGAACTCGATGACGTTGGCACATAATCTTAGACTTTCAAGCCTCCAGAACTATGTGACATAAATTTCTGTTTTTACAAGCTACCCAGTCTGTGGCCTTTGTTATAGAAGACCAAACAGTAAGACAGCCATGCTCACCTGGGAGGGTGACGGCCCCAGACTGCAGCAGCTCCTGGCTGATCTCCAGCACCTGCTTGGGCTCCGGGTGGGGCAGGTCTCCTGCGCCGGGTAGCTGGCCTTCACCCTCGGAACTCAGCAGCTCAGCAAGCATGTCTGGGAACCTGCTGGGGTCGTGTCCTCGGAAGCTGCAGCCACCTGCGTTGACACCGGCTGGACAACAGAAAGAGACCTGGTCAAAGGTGAAGTACTGCTCTGGTTTGAAGGCAGCTGCTCGGCTTACTACAAACCCGGATAAACTCGTGAGTAAAAATAGTGGGTTTCCATGAGAACTTGTCCCATTTCTGGTGGAAAGGTAGGTGTGCCACACCTTCTGGGACAGGTGTGTCCCTGAGCAGGGGGCACACATGTACAGTTAAATCTTTCAGTACCGCCAGGAGTGCTCACTACCTGAAGGACTCAGGGAAAAACATTTTACACCGGAAGTTGTCACCCTAATTTATTTTGTAACACAGACTTTGTTTTCCTGTCCCTAAACCTCGTCTTTAACGTCTTTCAGTGCTAACATCTTATAACTATGTTCGGCTTTCTCATCAGCGTTGGGCTGAGAAGTCCAGAGCATTCTTTTCTATATACAGTATTTTTAAAAAGCTTTATTGAGATACACTTTACATATCTTAAAATTCACCCACTCCACGTGTGTACAATTCAGAGGTTTTTAGCAACGTTACCAAGTGGTAAAACCATCATCATAAATCAGTTTTAGAACATTTGTCCCTTCAAAAGGACACTCCCCCCATGCCCATCTTCAGTAAATCTCCTCTCCACTCCAGCCCCAGGCCACCGCCTGTCTTCCTTCTGTTGGTAAATTTACCTATTCTGGACTTTCCACATAATGGAAACAAACATGGGGTGGTCTCTCGCCTGGCTTCTTTCACTCAGCAGCATTGTTTTTGAGGTCCACTCACAACACTGCCTGTGTCAGAGCCTCCAACTTTTCTGTGGTGGGTCTCATTCCACTGTCTGATGACCACACTTTGTCTGTCCCTCCACTAGCTGATAGACTCCAATCACGCAGTGTCCTTGAGAGTGAATTTTTTCATGTATGCTCACACATTTTCTAGGACACATCACTGGCCAAGGTAAGAGCAATTCTGCAGTGAACTCCAAGCTTTCTCACATGGATGGGGGAGCAGACATCACATTCATGTGAGCCTTTTCTCATTATACATCTTCCTAGCTGAGTAGGTCATTCGTGTTGGCTTTTCCTGAATTCAGTAAGAGGAGAGTCCGAGGCAGGGCCAGGAATAAAAGCAGTACCCACATGTGGCTAATGAGAAACAGTTGCTCAGTTACCACTGGCTGCATGAACAATGAATGATCTGAGTATGACATTCTTTTTTTTTTGAATTCTCACCCAAGAATATTTATCTTTAGATAGAGTGTGAGAGAGGGAGAGAGACAGACAGAGAAAAACATCGACATGAGAAAGACACATCAACTGGTTGCCTCCCACACGACCCTGACCAGGACCAGGGACAAACCACAACTGAGGTTCATGCCCTTGACCAGAATCGAACCCTTGACTCACTGGTCCACGGGCCAACATTCTAACCGCTGAGCCACACCAGCCAGGGCCTGAGTATAATATTCTTAAAATAAATTCTGAAATGCTACATTTATAGTTTTGAAATTACATTTATTTTATGTTTAAATAGGAGACAAAGCAATGTTTCAGGAGCTAGAGGAAGCCAGCAGGGAGGAAAAGCAAGCTGGAGCAGAGGAGGAGAGCGCCGGGGCAGAGGAGGAGAGCGCCGGGGCAGAGGAGGAGAGAGCCGGGGCAGAGGAGGAAAGAGCCGGGGCAGAGGAGGAGAGAGCCGGGGCAGAGGAGGAGAGAGCCGGGGCAGAGGAGGAGAGAGCAGGATCAGAGGAGGAGAGCGCCGGGGCAGAGGAGGAGAGAGCAGGATCAGAGGAGGAGAGAGCAGGATCAGAGGAGGAGAGAGCCGGGGCAGAGGAGGAGAGAGCAGGATCAGAGGAGGAGAGAGCAGGATCAGAGGAGGAGAGCGCCGGGGCAGAGGAGGAGAGCGCCGGGGCAGAAAAGGAGAGCGCTGGGGCAGAGGAGGAGAGAGCCGGGGCAGAGGAGGAGAGAGCCAGGGCAGAGTAGGAGAGAGCCGGGGCAGAGGAGGAAAGAGCCGGGGCAGAGGAGGAGAGAGCCGGGGCAGAGGAGGAGAGAGCAGGATCAGAGGAGGAGAGAGCAGGATCAGAGGAGGAGAGCGCCGGGGCAGAGGAGGAGAGAGCAGGATCAGAGGAGGAGAGAGCAGGATCAGAGGAGGAGAGAGCCGGGGCAGAGGAGGAGAGAGCAGGATCAGAGGAGGAGAGAGCAGGATCAGAGGAGGAGAGCGCCGGGGCAGAGGAGGAGAGCGCCGGGGCAGAAAAGGAGAGCGCTGGGGCAGAGGAGGAGAGAGCCGGGGCAGAGGAGGAGAGAGCCAGGGCAGAGTAGGAGAGAGCCGGGGCAGAGGAGAAGCAAGCTGGAACAGAGGAGGAGGAAGCATTTGACTTGAGAAATATGTTGTCACTCTTTCCTTATCTTTCTTTATGTACTGCACACACTCCTCTAGATAACTATTTTCCCTCCAGAGTCTATGGAAAAATACTCCTGAAATGGATGCTCAGAAACTTACTGAGTGCCTCTGAGTGGGTGTAACTAAGGAGCATAAAGTCCACCGATCTGATGTCATTTAAAAATGAACATTACACCCAATTACCTATATGAGCAAGTATTAATACAATGGTGGAGTGTATGGTGACCACAAAAGGACGTGTTCACTCCCAGAACCTGTGAATGTGACCTTATTTGAAAAAGGGTCTTTGCAGATGTGAACATGTAAAGTTTGGGGTGGGCCCTAAATCAAAAGACAGGTATTCTCATCAGAGAAAGGAGAGGGAGGCTTGCAGCAAGGACAGACAGACAGGGAGAAGAGCTGGGCGTGTGACCACAAGCCCAGGAATGCCTGGAGACCCCAGAGCTGGGGACAGTGCCTATGGCACTGTGAGGTCAGACCCTGGCTTCCAGTCTGTGAAAGGACACGTTTCTGTTGTCTTAAGCCACTGCGTTGGCTGTACTTTGTGTAGCAGCCACAGGAAAGGAACACATATGAACATTATTTTCAATAGTCAATATGGATATGGAGACAGGTTTCTACTAAACCAAGAGACCAGACCAAATGGGACAGGGCGGGAGAGGGAAGGAGAGGAAGTTGAGGGAGAAAGGAGACAGTGGAGGAGGGGAGGGAAGAAGGGACATTTACCTTCCTCTTTGGTGCAGCCAGAGGGGTGGCTGGAGCCCAAGTTTCTGGTCCCCATATCTTGTCCTCCTAAGGGACTTACGGGTCCAGCGCTGGCTGAATGTGGGGAGGCCTGCTGGGTATCACCTTGGAAGCTCCTGAGGGATCTGTCCCAGGACCGAGACCTCCTGGTAAGGGTCCTCCCAGCGGCTCCTGGAAAGCTCTCTTGATTCTGGACTCCCTGGGGGACTCCCTGGGAGACTCCCTGGGGGCCGGGGGTTTCTTTCTGGGTCAGGCTGGTCGCTGCCTTCTTGCTCTGGGTGATGCAGGCCTCATCCTCAAGGGACTCCTCGGAGCTGGAGCCCAGGGGCATGGGGTTCCGCAGGGCCTCCATGTAGGACTTCCTGAACCAGCGCCTGGCCTCCGCGCCGGCAGGGGACCCAGGCGGCCGCCTTCTAGAGCTTGGGCTGCCTGCGTCCTTGGGAGAGGTGAGGGCCTGGGGGCCATCTTTCTTGTCCACGGGGTTCAGTCTCTCTCCTGGTCCTTCGCGGCTCTCGGGGGGCTCCCATGGGCCGATGTCAGAGCTCCTGGGCAGGATCCTGGAGCTTTCGCACTTAGTTCTTCTCAAGGAAGGCAGGCAGCTGGGCTGGTCACTGCCTGGATGCCCACCAGAGTGAGGCAGGATTGGAGTATCGCTGGAAGAGGTGCTCCCCTGCGGACCAGGACTGGCCATGGCCGGTGCCGGGGCCGGGGCCGGGGCCTCCGAGACGCTGCTGGGCGGCTGCTCAGGCCCCGGACGGCTGGAGCAGCTGGGAAGGACTCTTCCACTGGTGGGTACAAACACGGGAATGGTGATGTTGCTCCATGGGGTGCGGTAGACAGCAGAGCCTGAGGTCAGCAAGCAGTTTTTCAAGAGGACACTGTTGCGTTCCCTGTTCACCCGGTCTAGGAACTCTCCTGTGAAGACACAGCCGTACATGGCCTCAGGCACAGCAACTTCCTCTGAGCCGCGTCCCAGCCGAGAAAGGCATTTTAAGACCAGTCTGGCCGACTGCTTCCCCACCGATGTGACCTGCAGGTAGAAGTCCCCGGGCCTGAGCCTGACTCCACGGAGGGACGCCAACTGCACCACTACCTTCCCGTGGATGCACAGTGGCCAGCCTTCGTGGAAGAAGATGAGGCCCGTGTACCTGGCCTGGGACAAGAAAGGGAGGGAGATTAGCAGCTGGTATGGAACCTGTCGGGACCCCTGATCTACATCCTGCAGGGAGAATGAGCAACGCCCCCCCTGTACCTCAGAACACCAAACAAATCATTAGGGCTGAAAACAGGGAGTTTCTTTTCGATTCAGTGAAGTCAGTCAAAACCACACTATTATAGCTCCTTCTGGGAGGCTGGGGAGAGACGGGCAACAGGACAGGGAGGGAGGAAGCCACCCAGGCCCAATCTCATGCAGCCAGAGCCCAAGGGGACTCTGTGGGAAGTGGCTCCTAAGGGACTGTCCCTACCTGGGCTTCCACATTCTCATCTTCCTAACCCCCTGACTCTGTCTAACCTCCAGAGGCTTCCGGGCACCCATGGGCAACCCCTCCAAGAGCATGGCCTCTGGAATCACAGGGTTAGGACACGGTGAGAAAATGTGGAATCTGGGCAGGACACCAACAACATTGGCTACACACTCCCAACTAATGGAACAGGCGTTTCTACTTATTAAAGGAGTCAATGAAGTTTACAGCCAAGCTGCAGGTTACAGGCAGCGCTCTCAAGCACTCTGAAAAGAACTTGCTCCTGACTTCAGGACGAATAGACACAGTCAAACGGGCCACGCGACTGTCTGGCAGTTAGGGAACAAAGGTGGGGCCCTGACATGTCAGGAGCTGCAGCTACATGTTCTAAGATGAAACCACGATCAACAGTACAAATTTAGTTCTAAAACGTTTTGCTTTGCAACTTACTTTTTCCCATCTCAGCACTGACTCCTGCACACACATTATTATAACAGAAAAAATAAAAATAGGAAGAAAAATCTCAACCAAATATATCTCAAGAAATTTTGAATTTTCTTTGCCCTTATCCATTGTAGAAAATAACCTTTCTGAACTGTAACAATAACATAGGCATAATTTGGCATTCCTGTCTGCAGTCACCTTAGCAAACATTTCTCTATATCACCCTCTCATAATTACTCAATGGCTACTTAACTGTTCCTCTATGGCTGTAAATCTACAATGCTTCTTTTTCTATTATAAACAATAAATGCAAGGAACATTTTCATAACAATTTATTTTTCCTTTAAATGATCATATTAGGATACATTTCTGGGATTAGGATTACAGGATCAAAGGTTATGAACTTTTTTTTATGATTCTTGGCACTTTGACCATTTGCCATCGAAGACATACTGTCAACAGTGTCACTGTGACAGCTTTGCTATGATTCAGTAGCACAAGGCTCTGCATTAAGAAATCATTTTCTAAATTGGTGTGTATACTGTAGAATATTGTTTTTTAATTGACATTTATGTGATAGTGAAGTTAACCTCTTTTTTTGATGTTTGTTTTCTGTAAATATTCTGTATGTAATTTTGCTTTGATGGTCTTGCTTTTGCCTTATGAGTTGCTTTTCCCCTTGAAGTCAGTATTTTAAAAAAAAATTTTATTTATTAATTTATTTTTGTTATGCCCTGGGTTTATAAGAAAATGTAACAACAGCCTGGCTGGTGTTGCTCAGTGGTTGAGCATCGACCCATGCACCAAGAGGTCGCTGGTTCGATTCCCAGTCAGGGCACATGCCCGGGTTGTGGGCCAAATCCCCAGTGTGGGGCGTGTAGGAGGTGGCCAATGGATGTTCTCTCTCATCAATATTTCCATATCTCTCTTCTTCTCCATTCCTCTCTCTCTAAACAATAAATAAAAAAATTTTTTTTTTAATGTAGCAATTTTCTGCACTGACCATTAGCAAATGTTCCTGTAATGTATCTACTGATGTACATATTCTTCCCAGTTCATTTGGTTTATAGTTTAGTTATGCTCTTTTCTTCTCTATAGAAGTTTAAATTTCATACAAGTTTCATTTCTTGAGTTTTTGGTGATACCTTTTATTGCCTTAAAACTTAGAACTTGTTATCTTACCAAAGGTTGCCTTTTACATTTATTTTGTTTTCCTAAGAGTTGAGGTTTAAAAATTATTTCATATATCTGGAGTTTACTTTGAAAACTGTACCTCAAATATACCAGTGGGTTCTTAAGAGCAAAGTCTTCATTAGATATGTTCCTCCTGCCTCACGAGCTCGCCGTGCACACCCACGTTACACAGGAAGCAGCGGATGGTCTGGACCAGGAACTGCGGGGGACAGCTGCAAGGGCAGCACAGCATGGCCTCTCGTGCAGACGCAGCTGCTATTTACTGGGCACCTGCCAGGTGCCATCACACCTGTGGCCACATTTAATTAAAAATTAAGAGTTCAGATTGAAAAAATAATATTGTGCACTGCAGAAACTGGAGAATCCAGAAAAAAAATAAAGAATGAAATAATCCCAAAACTAATCTCCAGGTCAGCATTGTGGACATTTTTGTTTCACTTCCTTATTTTTTCTGTGCATTTTTTAAAAAGATTTTTTCATTGTTTTTAGAGAGAGGAAGGGAGGGGAAGAAAGAAAAATATTAATGTGAGAGTAAAACATGGATTGGCTGCCTCCTACACACCCCCTACCAGGGATTGAGCCTTTAACCCGGGCATGTGCCCTTACCTGGAATTAAACCAGAAAACTTTTGGTGCATTGGATGACTCCCAACCAACTAAGCCACACTGGCCAGGGCTTTCTGTGCACTTTCAATGGTTGAGATGACATCACAAGGACCGCTGTGCACCTTGATTTCTCTTGTAACATGATTTCCTCAGCATTTCCTGAGCTACTAGAAATTCTTCCCACAGATTACTTCACTGCTAGAGCCCTACTTCCCCTGAACTTTGCTCTGACCGATAAAAATACCATGAATATCTCTGGACCTAGAGCCCAGCCAAGATTTCAGATGCCCTTATGGAATCTGAGGTCTTAGAGCAGGTCAAACGGTGTGATTATTCCCAGGCCTCTGGGGTGAGCCAGTGCCGCTGGTGTGTGTGGCTGCAGATGTGGGGTAGCGCCTTCCTGAGTGGTCAGTGACCTCCCCACACTGGACATGAAGATCCAGGAAACTGCCCAGCCCCTCAGTCAGCAACAGTGAGATTTCCAGCCTGGTAGCTGCCAGAAATTCTGCAGCCATCAGGAAGAGAAATTCAACCTGAGCTGTGGCCTAACGGAGTGTAGCTCAGGTCAGTAGTTTGAGCACCAGGAAAGACCTTCATGACAGAAAGTTGCAGTATGAGAGGATCCAAGGCCAACTGAGGTGACTCCTTTCTTAAGGGCCTAAGCAGGGTCAGGGTGGAGCATGCAGGTGAACTGTCCTTGTTACCAGTAGGGAGAGGTCCCCACAGATTGCTCATGGGAGTGGAATTCTTGCAATATCCCCCCCCCCCGAAAAAAAATTTCTGAGACTCTCACAGGAAAATGAGTAAATTTTACTTCTGTGGAATTACATCCCTGAGTTTCCAAGGTCCCCTCTCCCTCAGTCCCACCATAGAAGAAGTGTTGCTTTGGCCTCAGCAGGGTTCAAATCAGAGGCAGTGCCCAGAGTTTCTGTCGGCACAGTCCAATTCAACAAAGCTCATGTTCCCTGCTGCAATCCATCAGTCCATTGCATGTGGGGTCCACAGGGCCGCATCACTATAGAGGAAACATGGGCAGGAAGCCAAAGGAACCAGAAAGGCAACAAGAGTAAGCCCCTTTTAGGGGATTATATATCCCCAAATTTTCATGGGCTTGTAGTGGCCACACCCATTCTGGCCAATAATCTCTGTTCCCAGGTGTGACTGACAGGCACCCTCCCTGCATCACCCTGATTTAACTGCACATGCACCCATCTCCCCTTTGTTGGACCCCTTCCCTCAGTGATCTGCAGGAAATGGGTAAGTGGTTCCCTGGGGAGTGCAAAGTTTCAGTTTCCTGGTGAAGCTGCCCAAATTAAATGTTTATAATGTCTGGCTCCCCGCTTTGCTCTTTTCCCATTATTAATAACTAAGTAATTACAACAGTATCATCCCTTGGTGACCCATGAATATGCAACCCTCACACCCCAGTCCTGCCAATTCTTCTCCTGGCATGAATACAGCTTGACTGTCTGCATCTTGGGTTTGCTCCCATCACCCAATGGGCCATAGGCACGAAGATCCAAGGCTGAGGCAGAGAAAACTGGCCCCGCAGAAGCAGCAGCTGAGCTGCCCTGCTAAGGGGAGAAGCCAGTCATGCTTGTGCTGTGGCATTTGGCACTCCAGCCACATGGTCCCCCATCAGTCTCCAGTCCAATGAGAACCTCTCACCTCACACATGGCTCCCCCTGTTGGAAAGGAGGGTGATGCAAAGATCAGTCTGTCTGAGCTACGTACGTCTGTTAGGTCTTGTGAGAGAGGCAGGTATTTTCCCACCTTTGTGAAAAACTTATTTGTTTTCAACAATAAGAAATTGTTTATAAAGTTTTTAATTAAATACTGAAATACAAAAGAATGCTGCTATGTATTATATAAGTATCACGATACAGCCGTCTAAGGAAAATAATGTCGCCGTCATCTTTGCCATCTCCTGCATGCCCACATCCTTTCAGAGGTAGGAACTTTCCCCAAATTTTGTTATTAGTCCATTCCTTTTATCTATTTACCACATTTTTGAATCCATAGACAATAAATACTTTAGTTTTGCATGTATCTGAACTTTGTAGAAATGGAGTCATAGAGTCTGTTTTTCAACCAACACTGAAATTCACTGATACTGTTATATACAGCTGTAGTTTATTCATTTTCTTTGATATGTAATATTTGCTATGTAGTAAGAAATCTGATCTATTACTATTACTAGTATTAACCAACTATCCCCAAATTTAGTGGCTTACTTACAAAAATTACTTTATTTTGCTCACAACTTTTGAGTCAGGAATCAGGGAAGGGCTTAGCTGAGGGGTTCATTTTGGACCCAGGTTGTGAGCTGGGGAATCTGGGATGGAGGAGTCACTGTGAGCCCCACATCTGCACTGTGGGACTCCATAGTCTTTCTCTGTCTCTCTTCTCTCATCTCTGTCCCTCCTCCAAAGGGCATCTGATTCTTC